AAAATATAAAAAAATTATCCATGTGTGACATTGGTCATGTCAGGGTCACCACGTGCAGGGGTCTGTCCGGCAGACCATGATTCCGTGATGGATGAATAAATACACTGAAACACAGAGTACAGTGAATGAGTGGACTAGGTGATTGTGCGCTTCCCACAGAGATTGCAGCTACATGACACCCACTAGTTCTCCCTCCTCGAATTTATTCAGTATAGATTTAACAACAAAGGCTTTGAGTAAACATACTTGTGGATAATTAACATGGTTAAGAGAGTAGTTCTTTGAAAGATTAATGCCCAGAGCAAACACCATAAAGGATAAATTTCCTGGTCAACCTACTCCTGAGAGGACCATTCAGCTCAAAGTTTACATGAGTCAACAAGCTAGTTAGAGACAAAGAAATGTGGGGAGTTTAATTATTTAACTAAAGGCACAAAGCTACTTTCAGCCAAGTAATAACCCTTAGGCCTTCCAAAAGGATTTGTGACTATATTCTATTACTTTCCTTTAATATTTCTGCCACCATCCTGTGTAAACCCCAACAGACATGCATGGTGGTGCATTCCTGTTGTCCCAGCTATTCAGACGGCTGAGGTGGGAAGAGTGCCTGAGCCCAGGAGCTTGAGACCAGCCTTAGCAACATAGTGAGACCTTGTCTCTGTAAATAAATAAATAAACAAATAAGGGGTGGCATGTACCTGTAGTCTTAGCTACTTGGAGTACTGAGGTGGGAGGGTCACTTAAGCCTGGGAGGTCAAAGCTGCAGTGAGATATGATAATGCCATTGCAGTCTAGCCTGGGTGGCAAAATGAGGCACTGTTACAAGAGAGAGAGAGAGAGAGATGGAGAGAGAGAGAGAGAGAGAGAAGAGGGTAGGGAGAGGGAAGATTTAAAAACCCTGGTGATAGTTTGGGAACAATGGTTCATGTTGACACATCTAGAGGCAGGTGGGTTAGCTGGTTAGCTGGCAGCTAAAAGATAGGTCAGTTTGTCCTCCAGTAGGCCAACGAAGGGTATCAAACCAAACAATGATGGCTGTTTATGAGTTCTCTGGAAAACTTGGAGAGGGCCGTTGTGGGGCATAGGTGATGGGCTGCCTCTGTGTTGTGTCTGCTGGTGACCCATCCTAAGAAGCTCCATCTTACTTAGACCAGGTCTGCATCTGTGTCTTCAGAATTTCTCACCAGAAAGCCTCTTTTTCTGTCTTATGTGTTTGGGAATGTATCCTTTTGTTCTCCAAGTACTTACTATTATTCTGGTTTCTGGATTTTAACCACATCCTAAAAGCATGTATATTTTTCTGGAGGCATCATTATTGTCCTACAATATGATTTTTGTCTGTAACTGACATCTCCTGTTCCACTGGTGTCCCCTAATTTTCATGGTTATGTGTTCATAACTTCTACACTTTTTTATTATTAGAGCTTTTCTGATTAGGTAGGCTAGATTTATGCTTTCTGTAGTATCGTTCCCTCAGTAAATAGTCACAATCACTTTTCAGTGCGAACTTTCTGTTTAGACTCAGAGTTACTTATTTTGGCTGCTAAAAGGATGCTTTTATGAGTTTGAGGCTATGCCCATATAGATGAAATGGGAGACAGCAGAGTGTCTGATTGATGAACTGTATTGCATCACTGAGTTCCTTGAAGCAAAGAACATTTAGAGTCCACGAAGTTCTTTGCTCAGTCTCTTGCACGGTGAGTACCTTGGCAGTGATCTCCGGTAGGTCCTCTAATGCAGTGGACCTCAATCTTTTTTAAGACACCTGAGGACACGTGCCCTCCAATGAATTGCCGTGGTGACTATGGCAGGGCTGGGATGTGGGTGGAGGGACAGTCCTCTAGGGCCATAGCATTATCAGGAGTAGCATTTAAAATCTGAAAAAGCTCCCAGGTGTGTGTGTGTGTGCTGTTCCCCCTAAAAATATCCCCTCTCCAGCCCCATAAACTAGGCTTCCTCAGATAATATGGCAAGGGAGAACTTGATGATTTTGCTACTTGTCTGGCTAAAAGGGAAGGGATAAAAACATACAACACTCCATTTACTGTAGTTTTAAATGAACCTATGTTATAATTCTAGGTTTTGAAGTCTAAGGCCTTCTGCACGACTGAGGATGGAGAAGGATGCTGAAGAAGGTGGTGTACCTCCTGCGGGAGCAGAGGCTCCTCCCTCTACAGAAGAGGCTGCTCCTCCCCGTTCAGAAGAGGACAAGGCCGCGCGCCCTCCGACAGTGGAGGCTCCGGCAGAAGATAATCTCTCTCTTTCCGCAGAAGATGCTGTTCCTCCTGCGAAGGATTATCAGGATCTCATTTCTTCTGAAGAAGGGATAGTTCTTCCAGATGATCATGAGCCGGATCTGAATAGAGTTCGACCGAGGCTCGGACCGCGACCGGTTCAATCAGTGATTTCGGAAGTGCTGTCCTCCCCGTCTTCCCGGCGGTCCTCCCGATACCGCCGCAGCATGAGTGGCATCCCAAATCTACAGGAAACATTAAAAGAGAAACAGGTTTGCTTCTAATAAGATTTTCCATGCCTACAACTTTTCCTTTACAAATGCGAAATCCTTTTACTCTACAAAATATGAAGTAGTTTGATGTTCTTTCTTCAGAATTGCAATTTTTACACTTGGTTTTCATTCCTTAGGCAAGATTTAGAGAAGCAAGGGAAAGCCGAAGACTGAAAATTGACCCTTCATACAAATATATGTTTGAAATTCTAGCAGAAAATCTTGGCCTGGACATAGTAACTGTTGAAGAATTAATTTTGGATTGCCCATCTGTAAGTTTAAGTCTTATCATTTTATGCATATATATATATATATATATATATGCTTTAACTTCTGGGGTACATGTGCAGCTCTTGCAGAATTGTTACATAGGTATACACATGCCATGGTGCTTTGCTGCTGTATCTATCCATCCTCCCCACACCTCCCCCCACCCCCGTCATCTACATTAGGTATTTCTCCTAGTGTTAGCCCTCCCCAATCTCCCCTCCCCCTGCTATCCCTCCCCTAGCCCCCACCCCCAACAGACTTTGAGAAAGTGATTAACTTAAGAAAATAGACTTGTCATAAACGACAACAAGAAAAAATCATTTATTTATGTATTTTTTTTTGAGACGGAGTCTCCCTCTGTTGCCCAGGCTGGAGCGCAGTGGTGTGATCTCGGCTCACTGCAACGTCTGCCTCTCAGGTTCAAGCAATTCTTCTGCCTCAGCTTCCCAAGTAGCTGGGGCTACAGGCATGTGCCATCATGCCCGGCTAGTTTTTTTGCATTTTTAGTAGAGACGGGACTTCACCATATTGGCCAGGCTGGTCTGGAACTCCTGACCTTGTGATTCCCTCTGCCTTGGCCTCCCAAAGTGTTGGGATTACAGGAACGAATCACTGGCGCCCCGTCCAAAAATCATTTAGAAAGACAAAGTTGGGGCAGGGCACAGTGGCTCACACCTGTAATCCCAGCACTTTGGGTGGCTGACGTTTGAGGATTGCTTGAGGCCAGGAGTTTGAGACTAGCCTGGACAACATGGGAAAACTCCTGTCTCTCAAAAAATACAAAAATTAGCTGGGCATGGTGGTCCAAACCTGTAGTCCCAGCTACTCAGGAGGCTGAGGTGGGAGGATCCCTTGAGTATGGGCAGTGGAGGATGCAGTGAGTACTCCAGCCTGGCTAACAGAGTAAGATTCTGTCTAAAAAAAAGCAAAAGAAAGAAAAAAGGAAAAGACAAAAGTTGGAAATTTTACTAACCAGAGAAGAAGCTTTATTTTATATAATTATAGTCAGTTGAATGGTATTTCTAGTCAGGTCTACTGTTGTGGAGGAAGAAGAGAAGAGTTAGCAACTAGAATTTTGGCTAAACTTCTAACTCAAAATGATGTCAGAAGTTGAGTGGCGGTAGGGTAATATTTTACAAGTACAGGTTATATGAACCACATATGCCAATCACTTATAGAGGAAAACTGCAAAAATAAGTCAGGGAACAGTGACTGTTGTATGAGTATACAGTAGTAGAAAATAGTGATGTGTGGCTGGGCAGGATGGGGAGGCGATTAAAGATGAGAGGGGGCAAAAAAATAGTGATGTGATGTGACTGCAGGCCAGGTTACCATATACCTCAGGGTGCCAGGGACAGTTCTGGATTATGCTTATTTTCCTGGCATCATTAACAGAGCCTCCTGACACTACTAAAAATTTTGGATAAATTGATATGGTCACTCTAATTACAGTAACATATGATACACTTGTGTCATAGCTTCTGTCCTGATAGCTCTGGTTACAAGATAATTTTCAATAAAACTACCATTAGCTTCTTGGGCTTTTTCTCAACCCTAGGAGTGAATGGGGCTGGTATCCCAGAAAGACCAGTGAGCAGGTGCAGACTGCTGGTGAGCTGATTGTCTCACTGAATGCACTGGTGAGAGTGTTGGGTGAGGTGGGGTTGTAGTGAGGTTGTCACTATAAGGGCCATATCCCCTGCTTTTCCAGTGGTCATGAAACACGGGCAAAACTCTTTAGCTTGCTCTAGGAGCCAGGGTTCTATGGAATCGTGCCTAAAGAGCTACTAACGGCTGGGCGAAGTGGCTCACTCCTGTAATCCCAGCACTTTGGGAGTGCGAGGCAGGCGGATCACCTGAGGTTGGAAGTTTGAGAACAGCCTGACCAAAATGGGGAGACCTCGTCTTTACTAAAAATACAAAAATTAGCCGGGTGTGGTGGCATGCACCTGTAATCCCAGCTACTTCGGAGACTGAGGCAGGAAGATCACTTGAACTTGGGAGGCAGAGATTGCAGTCAGCTGAGATTGCGCCACTACACTTCACACTGGGTGATAGAGTGAGACTCAGACTCAAATAAAGCAAACAAACAAACAAAAAAAAGCTACTCCCTTGCTTGATACAGTGCATTGCTAAGTTCTGCAAAACTGTCTGCACTTCATGTCGTCCAGTATCCTTCTGAGAACATGGTCCCGGCAGTTGAAGGGGATTGCTCATTTTCCTGGTCCTGGTGTGCAGTTGTAACAGTGAGATGGGGGATGTGATTGATGCAAAGACATCATAATAATGACAAAACATAGAGAGTGCATGGAGATGTGTATACAAAACAAGAGGTGCCATAACAAGCAACTGGAAGTAGGCTGTGGTTTCCCAGGTCACCATAGTTTCCTGTTGGAATTTTCTGCTGTGGTCAAGGCTGGCTTCATGGACATATGGGCTGTGTAGTTACAGAGGCCCCTCTGCTTAGAATGGCACTGTGCTTGGTTTGATGATCTTTTGTCACCATTTTGAAGTTCTTGATAATTTTTTAGTAAATGTCTTGCATTTTCATTTTGCACTGGGTTCATCAAATTCTATAACTGGTCTTGACTGTGGACAATACCAACCAAATAGTAAGAGGGTTTTCTTTGCCATTCTCAAATTGGGTTTGTTTGTTTGTTTGTCCCTTCCCCAATGACTATTCTAGTTACTGTGGTGACTCTGGCTACTACATGTCTTTCTAGTCTCTCTAAGCAATTGGTGCAAAGCAATCTTATAGGTATCCCTGAGATGATGACAATGAGATGAAGGGAAGGCCAATTTCTAAAAAGTCATTTCTTATAGGACCAGGCTTCAGGCATGTCCCGAGGATCATTCCTGCATTTGGTTAGGGAGGAAGCCAGATAAATGATCAATCTTGTTTCACCTGAAAATTGCTGGGCCACAAATTTGGATAATACCACAGCTGAAATCCCTATACCCTCTGCAAAGGGTATAGGCATAGGCATTGCGGCCTGATCCTGCCTTCATGAAAGGGTAACTGCTAGAACTAAGATGGGGAGGTGGGCACCTGCAGAACTGGTAATTCCACTTTAAGTATTTGCCATCTGGATTTCTGGGTTGGCATTCTCTGTTTGGAGGAATTTTTCTGGCTAGCATGCTAGTCAGGAAGTAGAAGTGCTATGTGTCCGCAAACCCTTCTGTTTGCTATTCCTGGGGTATGTCTCAGACATTGGGTCCATGTGATTAGATTCTACCTTTAAGACCATTCTGGTCCAGGCCAGACACTGCTTAGGCTGCAAGGAATAGGAAATGCAGGCATTAAGGGAAGAATCAAGCTGGAATAGGTATTTCCTTAAGACTTGCTTGTGAGTGTGCAAAGCCATGGTGGAGGGAAAATTGTGGACCCAGTAGGGAAACCAGTGTCAAAATCTGAAAGATTAGAATGCTTATTTGGTTGAAGGGAAAAGGCAAGGACATATGATAAGTTGGCATCAAGGTTGGTGACCAGGTGAGTAAGAAGATGGAACATAAGGGGTGGCATGGTTTGGTGTGGTGCAGTTTAGGAAATTGGGGGTATATGGAAAAGTATCTTTTTTTCTTGAGGAGTCTTCCTCTGTTTCCCAGGCTGGAGTACAGTGGGGTGATCTCAGCTCACTGTAACCTCCATCTCCTGGGCTCAAGCAATTCTTCTGCATCAGCCTCTTGAGTAGCTGGGACTATGGGTATGCGCCACCATACCTGGGTAATTTTTGTATTTTTAGTAGAGACAGGGTTTCACCATCTTGGCCAGGCTGATCTTGAACTCTTGACCTCAAGTGACCCACCAGCCTTGACCTCCCAAAGGGCTGGGATTATAGGTGTAAGCCACCATGCTGGGTCTGGAAAAGTATTCTTTCTTTTTTCTTTTTTTTTTTTTAGACAGAGTCTTGCTCTGTCCCCCAGGCTGGAGTGCAGTGGCCTGATCTTGGCTCACTGCAACCTCTGCCTCCCAGGTTCAAGCTATTCTCCTGCCCCAGCCTCCTGAGTAGCTGGGATTACAGATGCAAACCACAACGCCTGGCTAATTTTTGTATTTTTAGCAGAGATGGGGTTTCACCATGTTGGTCATGTTGGTCTCGAACTCCTGGCCTCATAATCTACCCACCTCGGCCTCCCAAAGTGCTGGGATTACAGGCAGGAGCCGCTGTACCCGATCGAAAAGTATTCTTTTAATGTGAAGCCTGGTATGCAATCCAGGATGAAAGCAACTCAGTAAGGGCATCACAAAAAAGTGGACAACAGAGGGCATGATGGTTACTTTGTTTGCCTCTGGATCCATTCTCTGTATCTGCCCTGCTCTGTGCCTAGAAATCTGAACTCTATGGAATGTATCACCTGAGCTCCATTGCTCTCTGGCTTCCATTTGGTTCAGCCATGGGGAGGCACAGCAGGAGATGTGAGGGCAGAAGGGGAGAGAAGCTCCCTACTTGGCCATGTTCCTGACTGTGGTTGTCTGCTCCCAAAATTACAGCCCCCTGAGCAGCCCGGATCTCCAGTTCTCAATCTGGCGGAAGTCATTCTATTCCTCCTAGCCCTCAACTCTTTAGGCCATGGGAGGATCATGATTTTCCTTTGTTGCTAGTCCCATTGTTGCTGCTAGTGCCACAGCTTCCCTTAACCCTCAGGCCTCTAGAAATAGGCTTTTTATTTATAAAGTTTTTTCAAAAACCTCTTTGGGTGTGACTGCTTTTCTTGTTAGGACCCTGACCAATACAGATGTTTCTGCAACATTGGCACTTTGCCCCTTCTGCCCTTCCTGCCCCCTTCATTCAGCACTGCTCAAGATAATCTCTTTCCTGGCTTGCTGGCAATGTTTTCCAATGACTGGGTGGCTTGGGTGCGATACTGTGGAAGGAGCACAGATTTGGAGACCCAAGGCTGAGGTCCAATCCTAGGTTCTGTGCCGTGCTTGAGTGTTTTGGGTCCTTCACCAAAACTTTTTCTTCTTTTGAGATTGGCTGGAGTGCAGTGGTGTGATTACAGCTCACTGCAGCCTCAACCTCCAGGGTTCAGGCCAACCTTCCACTTTAGCATCCCCTGTAGCTGGGACCACTGGCACATGCCACCACACCCAGCTAATTTTTTGGTATTTTTAATAAAGAGGAGATGTTTTCTGTGTTTCTCAGGCTAGTCTTGAACTCTTGGGCTCAAGCAATCTGCCCACCTGGGCCTCCAAAAGTGCTGGAATTAGGGGTGAGCCACTGAGCCTGGCCTATTTAAATTCTTTTTAGCTTAATTTTCTCTTCCACAAGAAGGGTATAAATAATGCCACTTTACGTAGGTGATGCTCAGATGAGCAGTTGGTAAAATGTTATGTAATATAAGTGAATTTTTAATTCACAGTCATGATTTTGGCCCATGATCTCACATTTACTTTGCTAGTCTCATGAGTACGATGTATCTAAAATGCAAGGATTCATTGCATTTGGTATTTTGATGTCTTTTTATCCCAGTCATGTGCTCTACTTTTGAGAATTTGTATGCTTCAAAGCCTAAGGGTCAACAAAAAAGTATTGATGGAGCTGTGCCAGAAGAACTATGCTGACAGCTTTTGTCCCTCTTAGGTGGTAATTATGTGACACCCAAGTATATACGGGAGGTGGAAGAGCAGAGAACTAAGGGCTAGAATTTTGCACATCTCGGTGGCTCTGTTTCATCTCCCAGGGTGGAGGTTCTCAGATATGGTTCCAGGACCAGCTGCATCAGCATCACCTAGAACTTGTTAGAAATGTAAATCATTTTGTTTTTAAAAAGCCCTCTGTGTGATTCTCTGATGCACACTAACTTTTGAGAACCACTGTTCTAAGAGGAGTGGGTTTGCTACACTTGGGATACTTCCCCTAGGCAGTCAGTAGATTAAGAGATACTCACTGCCAGGTGTGGTAGCTAACGCCTGTAATCCCGGCATTTTGGGAGCCCGAGGTGGGAGCATTACTTGAGGTCAGGAGTTCAAGACCCTTCTGGCCAATCTGGCGAAATCCCATCTTTACTAAAAATACAAAAATTAGATTGGTGTGGTGGCAGATGCCTGTAATTTCAGCTACTTGGGAGGCTGATGCAGGAGAATCTGTTGAGCCTGGGAGGCCGAGGTTGCAGTGAGCCGAGATCGCGCCATTGCGCTCCCACCTGGGTGACAGAGTGAGAACTCCACATCAAAAACAACAACAACAACAACAACAAACAAACAAGCAAACAAAGACACCACTACCCAAGAGAAAGCCTCCTGTATGGGAATCAGTGGGATTAGGTGAATGGGTATATGACTTTGTATTTCCCATAGGATATTTCAGGGCTTTTGCTTATGTGATCTATTTAGTTTTCTATTTACTAAGATATTACACTGACTCCTAAGTAATTGAATAAAAACTTCATGCTCATAAATATGGAAGAATCTCAGTATAATAATTTGTCTTTACTTTAGTTTTAACATAATATGGGTCAAATTACAACAGCTAAAAACATAATTGCTCAAATAATTTATCAATAAAACAGGCAATAAGGCTAAGTTTTCTGTTCCCCAAGTAATCTTTTAAGAATTGTGTATGTTAATAATATATCTTTTATTAAATATTTACCTCCAGTTGGACTCACCTATTTACCTCTCTGTGATCCTGTGGGGCAGGGTCAGGTAAGTGGCTGCCCAAAACTATATATGTAGGTCATTAATGTAGGTTCAGAAATAGAATTCAACCTATATTGCACAGTAATTTTTGAGTTAAATTAGTTTGGGTTCTAATCTTGCCTCTGTGTACCTTGAATAAACTCTTTGAGCTTCATCTTCTGCATCTACAAAACACTGAGGATTTTTCCTTAGTCATTTTATTGATTGTCATTTTCTTTTTTATTTAACAGCTGGAAGCATTTGCTAAGTTTTTTGTGAATCTTTCATTTATAAAGAAAATTTTACCAGAAGTTTACATATAAGAAAGGCAATGTCTTAAGAACAATACATTCTCAGCCCAAATATATATTTCAGGCCTTACTATAACGTCTTAAGGAGAAAACATCCTTGTAGAAATCATTGACCTCTACTGAGAATACACATTTTCATTAGAATTTAATTGCATTGTCCCCGAAACAGGTGGAGCCATTTTGTCCAGATAATTGTAAGTGGTTGTGAAACTACTCCAGAGCCCCGCAGCTGCTGCCCCCCGTGGTCCTGTCTCAGCATCTTGTGCCTGCTGCAGCTGTCATTTGGAATTGCTGGTTTTCCCTACGGTGCATATTATGCCTGAAATAATTAACATGCTACCAGCTTGTTAAACCTTTGTTTTAATGACTAGATATGTAGGTTACCCTTTTGGCCTTAGACTACTCATCATCAAAGTCCCGTGGACTTACCTTCAACACATCCCTCCCGTTGGTTCTTTCTCACTTTGTCCCTCAGCTGCTTTAGGCTAGGCCTTCCCTGGTGTTCCAGATTGAAAACCAGTATCTCTGTAATCAGATTCTCCCTCTGAAATTTGTACTGCTTATTCCTGCCAAGTATATCTTTTATTGTTCTGCCATTTATTGGATTGGGTCCAGATCTCATTTATTCAAGGCCTGCTGTCATCTGGACACACAGTACTTGTCTAGTTTGATCTTCCACTCTTCCAGATGTGAATTTGCTGCTCCCTTCAAGCCCCTTTTCCTTGTTTTCTGTATACCAGAGTTATTTCTTTGCCCTTCTCTGGTCTCCTGGCTTTTTCAGATTGCCTTTCTTCTCTCCACTCAGCATACCCTACCCCTCCCTCAGAACACCTCCTGCAGAGCCCTTCCCACGGTGTTCCAATCCACATCCATCACTGTTCTCCAGATTCCTGTCTCGTTTACATCATCCATTGTATATATAGCACTTGATTGTGTTCTTCTACCTTCCTCTAATTGTTTAATATAAAGTCTTGCTTCTTTGACAAAATATGTAAACTCGCAATTAGTGACTAGGTTGGCTTCATGGATTTTCTGTCTCTCACAGTTCTTATTGTGGGAGGATTATTGTGTAGTCTACATTTTTATTACTTGTTAAAAATTAAAACAATAGCTGAAAATTATAGAAAGATAAGATATCTATAATTAGAAGCAAAATACAAATGATCCACAGTTCCACTCAGTTGAAGAAAGGACTGTTAACTCCTTAATGAATATTTCTCTGTAACTGGTTTATATACATATTTTACAAAAATGGGATCCAATCCTACATATCATTCTATAGTGGCCATTTAAATTTGATAATATTGTCTTCTTTATGCCAATAAATATATTCATCCAATTAAAATGTTAACATTTGCATTTTATTTTGTCAGGCTGATTAACTATAATTTTCAAAACTGATCTCTCAGTAGAATTTAGGTTGTTTACAACTTCTTGCTTTCTGAAACAATGCTTCAGTGAATATAACTGAATACAAATCTATGTGGATTAGGAATAAATTTTAGGAAGAACTCTCAGAAGGGGAATTGCCAGAGCAGAGGGTACACATATTTTTAATCATCATTTTTGCTGCTTAGAAAGGTAGTACATTTCTCAGTTTGGTAAATATTCATCTACATTTCTTTCCTTTCTTCCTTCTTTTCTTTCTTTCTCTTTTTGTTGTTGTTGTTGAGGCTGCGTCTTACTCTGTCACCCAGGCTGGAGTGTAATGGTGTGATTTCGGCCCACTGCAGCCTCCACCTCCCAGCTTCAAATGATTCTCCTGCTTCAGCCCCCCCAGTAGCTGGGATTAAAGGCACACACCACCATGTCTGGCTAATGTTTTGCATTTTTAGTAAGGACGGGGTTTCAGCATGTTTCCCAGGCTGGTCTTGAACTCCTGACCTCAGGTGATCCGCCCACCTCAGCCTCCCAAAGTGCTGGGGTTGCAGGCGTGAGCTACCCAGCTCAGCCTACATTTCTTTCTTTCTTTTTTTTTTTTTTTGAGACAAAGTCTTGCTTCGTGGGCAGTCTGCAGTGCAGTGGTGTGATCCCAGCTCACTGCAACCTCCACCTTCAGGATTCAAGCGATTCTTCTGCCTCAGCCTCCTGAATAGCTGGGACTACAGGCACATGCCACCACGCTCAGCTAATGTTTTGTATTTTAGTAGAGATGGGGTTTCACCATGTTGGCTAGGATGGTCTCAAACTCCTGACCTTGTGATCCACCCGCCTCAGCCTCCCAAAGTGCTGGGATTATAGGCATGAGCCACCACACCCGGCCACATTTCTTTCTTATATGCATGTGTTAACATACCAATGCTAATTATCAGTTAAAAATGTAGTTTTATAATACATTTTATTCTTGACTTGATGTTTGCATTTGACAGCGTAGCCTAGACATTTTTCTACGTCATCCCATAAAGATTTACCTCATTCAAATAATTCTGAATAGAATAACATTCCCTTATACAGCTTGCAATGTGGTTTTTAGAAATCATTCTCTATTGATGGCCACATCTTTCCTCTTTATCAGGAAAACTCAGGCTTGTCTTATGTCTTACCAGCCAGAACTGTGTCACATGGCTACCCTGGGGGCCAGGGAGGCTGAGAGCACAGTTTTCTTTCTAGGGATATACACAATGGGACAAAGTCAAGTTCTCTTACCAAGGAAAAAGGGGAGAGTAGTAAAACCTGTGCAGCCTCTATATATGGGCATCTGGGCTGTTACATTGCTACATACTATGTATCGGGGTTCTTTGGCTGCAAGCAACAGAAATAGATTCTGGCTAATATGAGTGGAAAACAGTCTTTTGGGAGGGGGAATTTGGGTAACAAAATTTAGAACTAGTTGAACAATCAGGCCTTGGGAGGGACAAGAATGGAGCATTTCCACAGATTTCGGGCAGTTTCTTTAAGATTCATCATTAGATTTCCATCTCTCAAATCCCTTTTTTTCTTTGTGTGTCTCCATTCGTTCTTGCAGAGTCTAATTAGTCTAGTTCTACATGCCCGCTTCTACAGAGCCTTGGCACTGGTATTCTCCAGAATCACAGGGCAGGAGGACTCTCCCAATCTCCCAAAAAGAAAGGCTGGGCAGACAAAACATTTCTGTGGCTTTGTGATGTGGATTTTCCCGCCCACTCTCTCTCTCTCTTTCTTCTCTCTTTCTCTTTCTCTCTCTCTTCTCTCTCTGTCTCCGTTTCTCTCTTTCTCTCTTTCTTTCTTTTGATGGGGTCTCACTAGGTTGCCTAGGCTGGAGTACAGTGGTATGATCATGGCTTATTGCGGTCTCTACCTCCCAGGCTCAAGTGATTCTCCCGCCTCAGCCTCCAGAGTACTTGGGACTACAGGCACACACCACCACACCAGGCTAATGTTTAAACATTATTTGTAGAGATAAGGTCTTACTATGTTGCCCAGGCAGGTCTCAACGTTCTGGGTTCAAGCAATTCTCCCGCCTTGGCCTCCCAAAGTGCTGGGATTATAGGCGTGAGTTACCGTACCTGGATGATTTTCTATTTCTTTTATTACATTTTAAGTTGGTTATTGTTGCAAATAGGAGGCTGATTTTTGCAAATCTATATTGCAAATCTAGTATAATTCTCATATGTTTAATAGTTTTTCTAATTAAAGCAAGATTGATAATTAAATGTTTAATTTTCAGCGAAATTAGTCCAAGGAAGGATTTAATGTAAGGTAGATACAATGAGTGTATTTAGTACAGGAACTGGACCTTCTTGGGGAATCAGTGAAGGTTTCCTGAGATGGCGGCATTTCTGCTGAGATCTGAAAGATGAGTAGGAATTTGGTAGGTAAAATGTTGGGGATGGGATGGGAGAACAGCTTTTATAAGGCCCTGAGGCCAGGCCAAAAAACAGTGAAGTGCAGAGTTCCGGGAAAGGTACCCAAAGGAGGCTGCAATTTATAATGCAATTACTGGCCAGGTGTGTAGCTCATGCCTGTAATCCCAGCACATGCGAGGCTGAGGCGGGCAGATCACTAGGCCAGAAGTTCGAGACCAGGCTGGCCAGCATGGTAAAACCCCGTTTCTACTAAAAATACAAAACTTAGCCAGGCATGGTAGCACATGCCTGTAATCCCAGCTACTTGGGAGGCTGAGGCACAAGGATTGCTTGAACCTGGGAGGCAGAGATTGCAGTGAGCTGAGATTGTGCCACTGCACTCAAGCCTGGGAGACACAGCGAGACTCTGTCTCAACAAAGAAAAAAATAGATGCAAATATTGGCAGTGTGTGGTGGCTCACGCCTGTAATCCCAGCACTTTGGGAGGCCGAGGTGGGTGGATCACCTGAGGTCAGGAGTTTGAGACCAGCCTGGCCAACATAGTGAAATCCCATCTCTACTAAAAAAATACAAAAATTAGCCAGATGTGGTAGTGTGTGCCTGTAGTCCCAGCTACTCGGAAGGCTGAGGCAGGAGAATGGCTTGAACCAGGAAGGTGAAGGTTGCAGTGAGCTGAGATCACACCACTGTACTCCAGCCTGGGCAACAGAGCAAGACTCCGTCTCAAAAAAAAAAAAAAAAGAAGCAGTTATGCAGTTATTGACATCTTCTAGTAGACCCCCCAAAAAACTATTCTATGATCATATTGAAAACTTCTTACAACAAAGTAAAACAGGAAACACTAGTGTAAGAGCCACAGTAGCTTATCTCATTTGATTAGTTATGGGATCATATGCTAAATTCTTGACTTTTGTTTTCAGAATGTGGTCGAACTATTCCTGGAGCAACTAAAGGGGCAAAAATGATGAAATTGTATATAGACACTGCAACCCCAGATAAACTAAAAGGAGTGTGTGTATTTTTTGTTCGTTGTCGTAATGATGTTGCCATAAATGTTAAAACTATTCAAGAGGTATGTTTAAAAATTGCCCCAAATGGATAAACATTGAATATATTTTCATAGTCATACTTAGGCTTTACTTGCTTCCCTTTTTTAAATATAGGACTGAATTGAGTTCCAAGAAAATAAATGTATTCATATATTCAAAGAAACTGAGAGACTGACTATAGCAGACCTTAGTTATATTGATACTTTAGATACAGCTTTTAATTTCATGAAAATTTCATTTCTTGATGGTGTGCAAATAATTTTTATCCTCCCGTTCACTAGGAACACATTTAATTTTGTTGATACAAAGTATTAGTTACTTTATTCAACTTCTTCTTCCCTCAATATTTTAACTCTTTTATAGTTTTAAAAGAAGGGGGAGTTGTCCTAGAGCCTGGACATTGCTATCCTATCTCTGGGAAGGGAAGATGATGGAATAGGAAAAGCAAGAATTTTAGCCAGGTAGACACAAATTTGCTTCTTAGCTTCTCCACTGACTAATCATTTAAGTGTGTCCTCTGGAAAGTTGCTCATCCTTTCTGTGACTTAGGTCTCTACATTCTTAAATTTGGAATAGTAATAAACACCTGGAAGGACTGCAGTGACACTAGATGATAATATAAGTAAATTATTATTATATTGCCTGACGCACAGTAGGCTCTCAACAAATATTAGTTCTCTTTGTTATTCTTAGAGAGTCTTAATACCTTTTACAATAGGAAAGGGAACTGAAGTCTAATCTTGTTCCCTTTCTGTACACGGTAAGAGATTGCTTGAAGAGAGCTTGTTTAGGTTGGTTTAAGATTCTAGGTTGGCAGTTATTTTTCCCTCACCCCTTGTAAATATTTCATGGTATTTCTTGTGGATGATGAGAGCACTCCTGTTAGTGTAATTCATAGGTAATCTGTCTTTTTTTCTTTGTTTGCTTTTGCTCTTTGTCTTCAAAGTCCTGTAGTTTCACCATGATGCCTCTACGTATGGATGTTTCCTCAATCTATCTTCCATTTCATTAATTCTTTCTTCAACTTATCCATGATTTAATCCATTTATTTTTATAATTTAGCTTTTGTTTTAGCTCTGTTATATGTGCATATAAAAGCAGAAAAGTCCTTTTATGAAATAGTATAGGCCTTTCATAACTGAAAAACTGACTTCTATTCTCCAGAAGCAACTATAAAGCCCTTTTAATGGATTCTTTTATTTACCTGTATATCTCTAAACAATATGCTCTGATTGCTCCTTTTGTCAGTTTAGACATTATCTGTGGCCAGGCGTGGTTGCTCACACCTGTAATCCCAGCACTTTGGGAGGCTGAGGTGGGCAGATTGCCTGAGCTCAGGAGTTCGAGAACACCCAGGGAAACAGGGTGAAACCCTGCCTCTACTAAAATACAAAAAATTAGCAAGGTATGATGGCGTGCTCCTGAGGTCTCAGCTACTCGGGAGGCTGAGGCATGAGAATCGCTTGAGTCCCTGAGGCAGAGGTTGCAGTGAGCCGAGAACACTCTTCTGCATTTCAGCTTGGGCTACAGAGTGAGACTTCGTCTCAAAGAAAAAAAAAAAAGACATTTTCTGAGGACTTTTCTCCCTTCTCTCTGGAAGGTGATAATTTAGTGCTGTTTTTACCCTCTGACTCTTGTTTATCCATCCGTCTATTCTTCCAACATAGTTATATTCTATTTCACTTAGCTAAATATTTGTTTACATCATTATAATGAAGTAAATGTAATCACAGGTGAGCTATGTGGTATACCTGCGGTTCTTAAAGCCAAACCTATTTTCATCTTAATACTAAGATGCTAGTTGCCCTTTTCACCATGTTGACATTTGACTGATGGTGCAGAAGCAATGTTTGGAAAAACTACTGATCCTTTAACACAAATCAAGACAATGACACCAAACTGTATGAGTCATTGTATACCTTATTGCCACACACTCACAGTTAAAAAACAAGCAATCAATTTATTGTTGCCTTAGACAAGTTTTTTAATCTTAATTTTTTTGGCTTGGGATTTCCAAGTCACTTAAGATGTATTAATGGAAATGTCATGCATGGCTGGTGGGCTTTTGATTTCTTATGGCTGGTGATTTATTCCACCAAACTTCTGGGCAAGGGCTTTTCAACAGAAAAAAAAAAAATTCGCGGACAAGGCAACTTTCCACTGAGGATTTTCTTTACGAAGGTTTGGTTCCATGTCTCTCACCTTGAATAGGCTCCAGGCTATTGCTCCTTTCCTATGCAGAAATAGAAGCACTGAATAAAGCATCACTTTAATGAGCAAATATGGGAATAATTAAAGTGGGGGCAGAATATAAGTTTCTTCATCTGCTTAAGATTCCCTAACAGTTTTATAAAATGTATTAGTTGTTTATGTTTATTGCAATATAAAATAGGCTATGATTTTCAGTTCTTTAGTGGGATTAGCATGTAAAATAACATTTAAACTCCACTCTTTCAGGAAGTGCTATTTACTGTTCTGGATGCATCGAAAGGACTCTTAAATGGAATTAGGGATATGTTGGCAAAAATATTTCTACCAGCTGTTCTTGCAACAAACAACTGGGGTGCTTTAAACCAGTCCAACCAGGGAGAATCTGAAAAACGTATTTTCACTGAAACCATCAGCAGATACCTTTCATTTTTAGATGGTAAGTATAAAATTTAATGTTTAACAAATTGCAAAAAGGAGCAAATTAACTAAGATATTTTATAAACATTAGAGAAAAAGTTTCTAAAAAGATGTTAATCAAAGTAATTATGAGACTTAGAAGTAAGAAATGAAATCATTAGAACTCATTTTTGGGGATCTTTGCTTGAGTAAGATATACTTTCTTTTTTTTTTTTTTTTAGACAGAGTCTTGCTCTGTTGCCAGGCGCCAGGCTGGAGTGCAGCGGCACAATCTCGGCTCACTGTAACCTCCGCTTCCCGGGTTCAAGCAATTCTCCTGCCTCAGCCTCCCAAGTAGCTGGGCCTATAGGCACGTGCCACCATGTCCAGCTAATTTTTGTATTTTTTAGTAGAGATGGGGTTTCACCATGTTGGCCGGGATGGTCTTGATCTCTTGAGCTCGTGATTTGCCTGCCTTGGCCTCCCAAAGTGCTGGGATTACAGGTGTGAGCCACCACACCCGGCCGATATATTTTCTTTTAAATTTTATATTATAGCATGAGGAATCTCTTCCTATAATCTTAATGAAAATTTTCACCATATTAAAAATATATACTTTATTATGAACTCTTTAAAATCTATACTTTAGCCGGGCGCGGTGGCTCAAGCCTGTAATCCCAGCACTTTGGGAGGCCGAGGGGGGTGGATCACGAGGTCAGGAGATCGAGACCATCCTGGCCAACATGGTGAAACCCTGTCTCTACTAAAAATACAAAACATTAGCTGGGCATGGTGGTGCGTGCCTGTAATCCCAGCTACTGAGGAGGTTGAGGCAGGACAATTGCCTGAGCCCAGGAGGCAGAGGTTGCAGTGAGCCGAGATCGCGCCATTGCACTCCAGCCTGGGTAACAAGAGTGAAACTCCGTCTCAAAAAAAAAAAAAAAAAAAAAATCTATACTTTAATTTTTTCATATTATTAAAATGTATAATTTTATCAATAATTATAATTATAATTTTATCAATAATTAACTCATAATCTAATGATTAATTAGAATTATATTTCTGTAAAGTATTAGATCTTTAATATTTAAGCAATTAGAGCTTAAAAGTACATTGACATTTAACACATTAAACATTTCTTAATATTAAATGTTATTTAATATTTATTATTATTTAAAATATTTAATATGTAAATTAGTATTAAATGTCTTGATTTTGTTTCCTTTTTAGGTGCTAGAATAAGTATTGAGGGAACAGTGAAGTTAAAGACAATAGACAATATTGATTTTTCCAAACTGCACACCTTTGAAGAAGTCACTGCTGCAGCCAGCAATTCAGAAACTGTTCATCAGCTAGAGGACGTGTTGATGATATGGTACAAACAGATCGAACAGGTGAATTGACTCAAACAATTGCATCTGGACTAGTAGTTTTACGTACATCCTAGCCATTGTATTTTGTCTCTAAAAGCAAAGGGAAGAAGAGTCTCCTTTGACTTTCTTCCAGAATCTGCTTTGAAACTCAGCCTATTTTTGGCTCTAGAGAAAAATCACCCTTCTTTGTGGATCACTTAAAATCAATTTTAAGGTATTTCTCACTTCAAGGAAGAAACCATAACAATATGGGGTGAGAATGAAAGAATGAAGAATCAGGAATAGCCATCATTTATCCCCAGTGTTTAAATTGTTGATACTTTTCATAAAAGAGAGAGGGAAAAGACATAACAAAGAGCCAGAGTGCTAGACACTAAATAAGTACCTCGTGGTCAATCAATGGAATTGTCTGTGCTGTCAAAGAAGTTCAGAGTAGGCTCTTTCATATCAGTATCACAGTGGCAAGCCTTCAGCTCTGCAGTAAATTTTTTTCTAGCAGTAAGAAAAGTAGTGATAGGAATACAACATATGTTAAAATTATGAGGGGCTCCAGCATACACTATAAACACTGTGAAAGAAAATCAGATATTACATAATTGCCCTAAACAGAAAGAGGAGTCTACGAACCACCCCCTAGATCTCTAGTTCATCAGGATGGGACAGCAGAACTAGACAAGAAAATCTTCAGTTGTGTAGGATGAGGAAAAAATCTTGACCAGGCAGGAGGTACAGAAAAGCATTTCCAGTTTTACCTTTTTAGAACTATGTCAGGAGGAGGGCTGTGCAGTTGGAGTGGTAAAAATTGGAGGACTCCCCTAGGGTCTAAAGTGCAGGCCACAGAGTTTGCTTCTAGGTGTCACTAGAGGACTGAAATGGGTAATTGCCTACCGGATAACTCTTGTAGCCATCCACTACGGTAACGGAGGAAGGGAGGCTGTAACCCACTGAGGGAGTCAAGCCCTGTCCTACGCAGTGGCTGCGGAGACACTTTCCAATTATTATGTCAAAGAATATAGAGCTTTCATAAAAATGAGCAAGCAAAGGAAAATAATTTGACATAAAGGGATTTAACCATCTGAAAGAAGGAAACGAAGTTCAGCAATTGCAGCAAATAGTCTCTACTTACAGAGAATCAATGCAGGAAATGGGAGAGACCTAAAACATTACGTCTAAAATATACCTTAATCTCGACCTCTCGTCATACATAAAAGTTAATCCAAGATGAATTGTAGACATATATACAAAAGCTAAAACTAAAAAGTTTCTTCGAGAAACCACAGGAGACTGTCTTCATAATCTCTGTATAGGCGAAGAGTTCTTAGATGTGATGCAGAAAGAATTAATCATAAAAGAAAATTTGGCAAATTAAAGTTCAGAAACATTTAAAATATCTTCATTTGAAAAGACACCCTAAGAAAAATGAAAAGGTGAGCTACAGACTGGGAGACAATATTTGCAGAACACGTATCAAAGAACTTGTACCTGGAATATATAAAGACTTCCAGCAAATAAGTAATAAAAAGATAACTCAATTTTTTAAAATGGGCCAAAAATTTGGACAAGTGTATTAGACTGTTTTTATGCTACTGATAAAGACATATCCAAGACTGGGAAGAAAAAGAGGTTTAATTGGATTCATAATTTCACATGGCTGGGGAGGCCTCAGAATCATGGCAGGAGGCAAAAGGCTCTTCTTACACGGCAGAGGCAAAAGAAAATGAGGAACATGCAAAAGTGGAAACCCCTGATAAAACCATCAGATCTCCTGAGACTTATTCACTACCACGAGAACAGTGTGGGGGAAACCGCCCCCGTGATTCAAATGATCTCCCACCAGGTCCTTCCCACAACATGTGGGAATTATGGGAGCTACAATTCAAGATGAGATTTGAGTGGGAACACAGAGACAAATCATATCAACAGACATTACAAAGATGATCCAAATAAGCATGTGAGGAGGCATTTCACATATTTCACATCACTACTTATTAATACCAGGGAAATGTAAGATAAAACCACAGTAAGATATTACTGCTCACCCACTAAAATGGCTAACATTAAAAAGACTTTTTAACATTAAAATGAAGTTGCAGAGAATTGATGCTCTCATATTTTCCTGGTGGGAGTGTAACATGGTAGAATTTTAGAAAACCATTTAGCAACTTCTTATAAAATTAAGTATATAGCTAACTACCTTGCGGTAGTCAGCATTTCCACTCCTCTGTATACATCTAAGAAAAATGAATAATATATCCATGAAAAAGACTCATATAAGTGAGTTTACAATGGCCTTAATCGTAATCACCAAACACTGGATTAATCAAAACGGAAAATAAAAAATTTGTGGTACACTCATACAGTGGAATATAACTGGAGTGTTACTTACTACTGATACATGCAATGACATGAGTGGATCTTAAAAACCTGTTGAGTAAAAGAAGCTTGTGTAAAAAAGTGTGTGGAAAACCAGACAAAAACTATAAGTGAACCAGAATACACTGTATGACTGCTTTAATATCTCCTTATGCAAGATACCAAACCCAGAAGCCACAGAACAAAACCGACAGATACGGTTACATAAAAAAAAAATTAGTAATTTCCATATGGCAGCCCTTCCCTGCCCCCATAAACAAAGTTAAAAGATAAATGACCTCTTGGAAGAAAATTTTATCAGCATATATAACAAAGAGCTAGTGTCTGTAACATGTAAAGAGCTCTTATAAACCAATGGGAAATGAATGATTCAGAGAAAAATAGGCCAAGTATATGAACAATGCTATGCAAGGAATGTAGATGTAGATTTTCCATCTGGGGGCAAAGTGGATTTAGAAGTTCATATTCTCAAATACTTGATGGCATTTCATAAGAAATTAAATACGTATAGTACGTCCTAAAAAAGGCAGAAGTAAGACTAGACAGAGTGTGATGGTTATAAGGAGACATATTTTATCATGACATTAGGATAACTTTCTCAGTGCCCCACCAAGACTTCCTATTTTTTTTTTTTTTAATCTTTGGTTATACTTGGAATTGCCAGATTTTTAATTGCTGCCAGTTGAGTGTGAAATGATATCTTGATTTACTTTGCATTACCCTAAATACTATTGAGACTGAGCATATTTAATGGCTATTTTGGTTTCCTCTGTATTGAATTGCTCGTTAATATCATTTACCCATATCATTGCCTGTTCATATCATCTACCCATAACATCCACTTCTTCATTTGGATGGCTTGATGTTATCTGACTACATAGTTGGAGGTTAAATAATATTTTCCAGATATTAATCCTATGTTGGTCCCCACTGTGCCGTATTTCATTTGGTATGGTGTTGCTAGTCATGTGGAAATTTAAGTTTTTAATGTAGATAAATACATTAATTACAAATGTTAATCCAGCCTCAACCTATCTATCCCTAGTGACTACAAACTCTGTGCTTTTTGTATTTTACTTATGAAACCCTTTCCTACTCCAGTGTTATGAAGACATTCTCTTAAATTATTTATTCTAAATAGGGAATATAACACAAAATTAATACGATGAAAGGAACAAACTGTAAAATGAACACCTGTGTAACCTTTGCACAAGTTAAAAAATAGAACATGGCTGGCACCTGTCATCCCAACATTTTGGGAGCTCATGGCAAGAGGATCACATGAGCTCAGGAGCAAAGGACCAGCCTGGGCAACATGGCCAGACTCGGCCTGAAAGAAAGAAAGAAGGAAAGAAGGAAAGAGAAAGAAAGAAAGAAAATAGAACATTATCAGTGCCTTAAAATGCCTTTGCATTTCTCTTCTCAGTTTTAAACATCTTTTCTTCCTCTTAGTGGTAACTATTATCTTGACAAGTATGCTATTCAGTTCCATGCTTTTCTTTTTAGTTTTACCCTCATCTCCTACATTTTCTTTTAGAAATATTACCATTTTATTTTTAACATTTAGGTTTTTATTCCATCTGGAATTGTGTGTGTGTGTGTGTGTGTGTGATGTGAGGTAGAAATCTAATTTTGTGTTTTTCGTGTACCTGTAATTAGCTAATTGTCTCAATTTAACATTTTCTGTTAAATTGTTGAATAGTCCATTTTCTCCTAACAAATTTGTAATATCACCTCTGTCATATATAAAGTTGTTAGACCCCTTTGTTTACTTCACTGGTCTATTTATTTACTTTTTATACTATGCTGAGCTGCTTGAATTTCTGTAGCTTTCTACTAAACCAACATTTGGCATGCCAAGCCCTTTCTTTGTTTTTCCTCAAAATTATGTTGACTATTTCTGGATAATTGTTTTTCAAAATCAATTTTAAGACTAGTTTTTAAAGTATTATGAAAAACTCTGTTGAGATTTTATTAGAATTTCACTGAATTGTACATTAATTTAAAAAAAACTGCCATCTTTATATTATTGAATTTTCCATCCATGAACATGATATACCTCCCCATTTAGTAGGTCTTTTGTGTGTGTAAAATAAGTTTTAAAATTCTCTCCGAAAAGGTCTTGCGCATCTTAGATTAATTTCTAGTTATCTTATTACCGTTTTTCTTTGCTGTTGCAAATTGTATCTTTTTGGAAATTACATTTTCAGATTGCAAAGTAGCTTGTAAAGAAGTGATACTAATTTTTATGTATAGATCTAGCAACTTTACTAAATTGTTCACATTTATTAATTTTAAAAAGTTTGTCTTTAGTCTTTTTTTCTGAAGAGACAGGGTCTCATTCTGTCACCCAGGCTGTAGTGAAGTGGCATGTTCATGGCTCACTGCAGTCTCCAACTTCCAGGCTTAAGTGATCCTCCCACCTCAGCTTCCTGAGTAGCTGGGACTACAGGCATGTACCACCACACCCAACTAATTTTAGAAATTTCTGCAGAGAAGAGGTGTTGCTTTGTTGCCCAGGCTGGTCTTAAACTCCTGGGCTCAAGTGATCCTCCACCTCAGCCTTCAAAAGTGCTGGGATTACAGGTGTGAGCCACTGTGCCTGACCTTATATATGCTTGAATTTTAAAAATGTAGCCAACGATGTCATTTGTGATTATGCCATTTTTACTTTTTTTAAAATTTCCAATTCTTATACCTTCTGTTTCTGTAGTTATCTTGTTCTGAGACTTCTATTACCAGGTAGGATAGAAGTGGGTGGTGATTGTGGCAAACTTGTCATGTCCTTGGTTTGAAAGTGATATTTTCTAAAATATCACCTTTGGCCAGGAATGGTGACTCATGCTTGTAATCCCAACACTTTGGAAAGCTGAGGCAGGAGGATTGCTTGAGCCCGGGAGGTTGAGGCTGCAGTGCACAGTGGTTGTGCCACTGCACTCCAGCGTAGGCAACAGAGGGAGACTCTGTCTCAAAAAAATCCCCAAGATCCAAAAAACAAAAAACTACCCCACCTGCAAAAAAACCCAAAATAAATCAGATAAACTGTCACCTTTAAGTATTATGTTTGCTGGAGAATCTTGGTAGGTAGTATTTATCAAGTTGAAGAAGTTCTCCTCTGGTCTTCATTTACTAAGGATTTTTAAACATTATTTGGTGTCGAACATTATTTATACTTTCGGCAGCCTTTGAAAACAGGCAATCAGATCTTAACAAAGAAGAATGTAACATTTCTATATTTTGTATATATTTTTTATTGCAGGTACTTATTGAGAGTGAGCAGATGAGAAAAGAAGCTGATGATTCAGGTCCGCTCACTGAACTGGAACACTGGAAACGCATGTCAGCAAAGTTCAACTATATCATTGAACAGATTAAAGGGCCAAGTTGTAAGGCTGTCATAAATGTGCTAAATGTTGCACACTCCAAACTTCTAAAGGTAAAAGGCCTTTTATTTAAAGTTTGGTATACTTCAGAACAAGCAAGTAGAAAATTATCCTTCTTAAACTACCTCTTAGCGTAATATACTGGAATCATGTTTAGAAGTGTTAAACTTTGGGTAAGGCTTTTACATATATCACAATTATTTCCAGAAGAAGAAATGAAGATTTATTTCTCAGTACTTTACAGACCAATTTTGACCATACTGCTATGGGGTGATTTCTAGGAAAGTGATCATCTTTTATTTTTAAATTGTTTTTGAAATTATAAATCAGTGAAGAAATCAATATAGGCTCATTGAGGTAAACGATTGCATATAGAGTCAAAAGTAAAATACATCTCATCCCTACAATTCTACCTCCTTTCCTAGAGGTCATCTTTATTTACAGTATGGCTTGATTCTAGACCCTCCCCTCCCCTTCCCTCCCCTCCCCTCCCCTTTTCTCCCCTCCCCTCCTGAGCATCTCTGCACATTTTCACTGTATGTGAAAAGAATGCAAGGTCCGTACTGCTCTTTACCCAAATATCTCTCAGAGTTGTGTTTTCAGTGAGTAACCTTGAGGGATCTGTTAATGTGTCCCCCAGACAAAGAGCAGACTTACCACTTACTGTAGAAAGGACAAATTCTCCTAAACTCAGTGTTCCTCACCTGTAACACAACCTATTGCGGGTGCAAGCATCGGTTTGTGGATATTTAGGGTCATGGGGGAACAAATGCACCACAATGCTCATGCCATTTGCTGTGATACAATAAAATCCTTGTCTCTCACCCAGAATCTCATGTTTTCTCCCATCATCCATAAAACAGCAAAAGGAAAATGCATTAACTTCTAAGCAGGGTAAAATCCCAGACCCTATAAGGACCTTGACAATTACAGTGCAAACTTTTTTCTAGTCTGTGGCTTACATTTTTTAAAACTTGAAAACTTGAAATCATTTTAGACTTATAGAAGAGTCAACCAGTATAGTACAGAGAGTTCCTGCCTGTTCTTCACTTAGCTTCTCTTAATGTTAACATGTTAAAACTATTGTACAATGATCAAAATGAAGTAGTAACATTGGTACACTACTATTAATGATGCTACACCCAATTTATATTTTGCCAGGTTTTTTTTTTTTTTTTTTTTTTTTTTTTTTTTTTTTTTTTTTAGAGACGGAGTTTCACCATGTTGGCCCGGATGGTCTCGATGTCTTGTCCTCATGATCCACCCGCCTTGGCCTCCCAAAGTGCTGTGATTACAGTCCTCAGGCACTGTGCCTGGCCTGCTTTTCTATTCTTATGTCGATTATCACAAACCACTTCTCATTTGGAGGAGAGGTATGACTAGTTTGTTCAGGTTCTGGTTTGCAGGGTACAGTGTTTCTTTGGGTTGCTGGAATCCTTGTTTGATATTGTGAAATACATGTATTTGGCCTTCCTCCCTGTTTCCTGACATATAACTTGGGAAACACGTGGAATCTCTGGAGTTATGAGTGTCTTTTCTATGGTAATGAGATGACTGGTGGCTCGGGCCCTTAGATAGCTTCCTAATAGTGCTGGTTACAGAAAAGACCTAGGCATGATTAGAAGGTTGAGATTTTTTTTTTTAATATATTTTATTGGTTTTGGGGTACATGTGAAGAACATGGAGGATTGTTGCATAGGTACATACATGGCAATGTGGTTTGCTGCCTTCCGCCCCATCACCTATATCTGGCATTTCTCCACATGTTATCCCTCCGCAATTCCCCACCCCCCACTGTCGTTCCCCTACTTCCCCCCCACACACCCCAGTGTGTGATTCTCCCCTCCCTGTGTCCATGTGTTCTCATCGTTCAACACCTGCCTATAAGTGAGAACATGNCCTCCCAAAGTGCTGGGATTACAGGCCTGAGCCACCATGCCCAGCCTCCACTTATATATTCTGATCTGTTCTGGGATCCAATCCAGGATCCTATGTTACATTTGACTGTCATGTGTCTTTAATATCCTCCAATATAACAGTTCCTTAGTTCATACTTGTAATTCAAGACCTTGATACTTTTGAATAGTAATGGTCAGTTATTTAGAAGAATGTCTTCAATTTGGGTTTGTCTGATGGTTTCTCATGAATACATTGAGGTTATGTATCTTTGGTCAGAACGCCAGAGTTGATGTGCTCTTCCCAGTGTGACTTATCGGGGGTACATTATACTGATGTACCTTGTTACTTTTGACCTAAAATGGATAATTTACTTAGGCTGGGATTTGTTAGGTCTCTGTACTGTACACATATTGTATTTTGTGGAAGACAACTTCAAACTACATGAGTAGTTTTATAGGTGAACCTTGACTGTGGCAATTATTACTGTGGTATGCTAATGGTGGTTTTCTAGTTTCCTTATTCCTTCCACTTTTATGAATCAGAATTCTTATGTAAGAAAAAGTTGTCTTTTCTCTCATTTTAGTTATGTATTTGATCATTTATTTACATTAATATAGCCTTATAGGTATTTATTTCACGGTTTGGGTTATAGCTGAATACTATTATAATTTAATTTGTTGCTCAAATTGTTTCCTCTTTGGCCATCAGGAAATCTTTCAGGTTGGCTCCTATTTCCTTCTGATCCCCCTACTCTGTTTAGAGCACTTATTTACTCTCTACCACTAGATAAATGCTCAAGGCTCATTTTGCATTTGTCCTGCCCTAGTCCTGGGATCAACACTTCTCCAAGGAGCCTAAGTTCATTTTTTGGAGAGCAGTATTTAGAAACCAAATCTGGATGCTAGATGTGCTGATTTATTGCTTGTATTTTAATTTATTAAAATGGAATCATTTATAATTAATTTTTTATATTTAGATGAATTACATTTTTTTCAGTCTTTTATTGTTTTTGTCCTTCATGTATTGTTTAAAAAGACCCTCTTAAGAAGAATAAATCAAGGTTAACCTAAATTTAAAATAGAATTACCCTTTTCTTCTATTTCTAGGATTTTATTTCTTTGCACTTTATTCCTCAGTTAACTTGGTATTTATTTGTGTAAATCATGTCAGATTTAATAATAATGATAATAACAGCAGCTAACATTTGTTGTGTGCTTACTATGTGCCAAGGATTATGTTTACTATCTTATCTATAACATTTCATTTAATCCTCACATCAGCTGGATCAAATGGATCTTCTTATTCTCTTCCCCATTTGGTATATAGAACAGTGAGAGATTAAGTTTCTTGCTCAAGGTCACAGAGTTAGTAAGAGGGGAAGCAGGGTATAAGGTCATGCTCTTACCTCTTTTTCCCAAATGGCTGGCTAATTTTCCCAGCACTGTTTGTCATTTTCTTTTAATCATAATTAATTTTTGTATCTACTCTTTGTTCTTCTTTTCCAGATTTGTCTTAACAATTCATGTATTTTCATCCTTTGGTATATATTTTCAAATAAGCTTATATCATTTTTTTTCCAAAATACCACATTTTGATACTTAGTTTTATATATTTTTGAAATGTATATAAATGGAATCGTATCATATATTCTGCAACCAACTTTCACTCAACATTATTTGTGAGAATGCATCCTGTTAAGGCATGCATTATTATTCATTTGCTACCTTTGTTTTTATTTTTGTATCATATTCTGTGGCATGAATGCACCACAATTTTTTAATCTATTACCCCAGAAAGGACATTTGGATTGTTTCTAGTTTGGGGTTATTGCAAGCAATATTCAGTGAATATTCTTGCTCATGTCTCTTGGTGTACATGTGTGAGAATTTCTCTAAGGCATTTGCCTAGGAGAGAATTTATGAATTTGTGGATCAAAGGTGATACACAATTTAAACACTTGGAGAGAGATCTTTAATGATCTGCCGTAGTGACCTTCAGACTTTTTCTTGTGTTAAAAATACTAATCTGTAGTCTTTAGAAAGGATTGCAAAGCAAATGTGGTAGCAAATCTATGAACGACATTGAGGATGGAGGGAAAGAAATATATTGGATGATAACGTAAGATCCAAGAAGGTCTTCAGTGGTAAGAGTCTGGGTGCCATACTGGTAGCCCAGCCTCTTTGTTGGATAGGTTTGTAGACAAGCTGCTTGGCTCCCATTATTTTTTTAAACAGTTTTGTCCAGAGCATGTTATTTCTGTTTTTGCTGGTAGACCTCTCCATTCCATGTTCTCTTAATCTCTGACCAATTCTCAAGCAGGCACTTGCTTTTATCATCCCTCATATGTAAGAGTGGTCAGTTAATAATAAGATAACATTTATTAAGAATAGGTTAAAAATCCTGAAAGAATCTGAAGGAGAGAAATTGATCAAGTAAAGTTTGGATAAAGACTTAGCCGTTTTAGTTGAATCATTTGGTAGAATGATATTACTGATGCGAGTCAACTTGATCCTAGGCTGCTTTATGAGAGGTATAATTTTCAGAAAAAAAGGAAGGCGATGTTTTGGCTCTTCTCAGCATTGGCCAGATCAGTCTGAAGGCTTCCTTTCATTTCTGAGGTACATGTGTTTTGAGTGATGTTGTGTATCCAGAGTAGAAAGGCCAAGAGGTTGAAGCTATTAAGGCCATGTCCTTGGAACCAACCCAAAACCCATCAATGATAGACTGGATAAAAAAAAATGTGGTACATATACACCATGGAATACTACGAAGCTGTAAAAAGGAATGAGATAATGTCCTTTGCAGGGACACGTATGAAGCTGGAAGCCATCATTCTCAGCAAACTAAGACAGGGACAGAAAGCCAAACTCTGCATGTTCTCACTCACAAGTGGGAGTTAAACAATGACAACACATGGACACAGGGAGAGGAACAGCACATGCTGGAGCCTCTCGGGGGGTAGTGTGAGGGAGGGAGAGCATTAGGACAAGTAGCTAATACATGCAGGGCTTAAAACTTAGATGATGGGTTGATAGGGGCAACAAACCACCATGGAATGTGTATACCTGCGTAACAAACCTACACGTTCTGCACTTGTATTCCGGAACTTAGAGTTAAAAAAAAAAAAAAAAAGACATCTTATTAAATGACTAAAGGCACACAGAGTGTTCATCTTTGAATAAAATTTGCCTTAGTAATTTCTGAATTGAGGAAGAAGGGAAAAAAAAAGACTTAGTGATAATATGGTAAATGTCTTCAAATATTTGAAGGGATGCTGTGTGTTTGCTGAGGTTCCATTAGACAAAACTACACCAAGTGAGCAGAGATTACAGGAAGATAGATTTTTCTTCTCAGTATAAGGAAGATCTTTCTCATAATCAGTTATCTAAGCAGGTAATATTTGATGATCACTTACAAGAAAGTGTTGATTTCAGATTGACTTCACTTTGTTAGTAGGGTTTTTTTTTTTTTTTTTTTTTTTTTTTTTTTTTTTTTTAAATAATGTTCTGTCTTAATAACTTGACCAATTCTTGAAGACCCAAAGTAATATAATGCCACAAATAATTAACCTGGAAAAGTCATTCCTGGTAGAAGCAAGTGTAGTTCAAGCCTACAGACAGGATTTTAATTACAAACAGAATGAGTCTTCAGTTTTAGTAAATCATTTAAGGTGCTTGCAATAACTTTGTCTTAAATATTGTAAGAAAAATATATATTAATTACACTTGAATGTCTACTATTTTAGTATATGAATGATTAGGGAAGACTGAATTTCTTGAGTAAACTTTAGCACACTGATATAGTTGGATGTTTCATAGCATTCTTATACATTTTTTTCCTTAGAATTGGCGTGATTTGGATGCAAGAATCACTGATACAGCAAATGAATCAAAAGATAATGTCAGATATTTATATACTTTGGAAAAAGTGTGCCAGCCTCTCTATAACCATGACCTAGTAAGTATGCTTTAAAGTACAGTTTTAAACTGAGTGCATTGGCTTGCACCTGTAATTCTAGCTACTCAGAAGGCTGAGGTGGAAGGATTGCATGAGCCCAGGAGCACAAGGTTGCAGTGAGCTCTGCCACTGCATTCCAGCCTGGGTGACAGAGCAAGACCCCATCTCTAAATAAAAAACAAGTACAATTCAAGAAATTGACTCATATAATTAATGCATTAAAAATCTTTAATATGTGTATATTTGGGAAAACATCCTGCCAAAAGTTACTTAAAATATATATTTTCCTATTATATATTTATAAAGAATGATAAACTATATTTAATATTTTAACCCATATTTAAATATGTAGCATATCATTAGTATGCCTTCATTTGTGAATTAAGCAAGACAAATATTAATATATTATTTATCCTTTGCTGCCTAACAAATTACCCCAGAACTGAGTGGCTTAAAAACAATGAGCATTCACATGGTTAGGAAGAATCAATATCATGCAAATGGCCATACTGCCCAAAGTAATTTATAGATTCAACGCTAACCCCATCAAGCTACCATTGACCTTCTTCACAGAACTGGACAAAAACACCTTATACTTCATATGGAACCAAAAGAGAGCCCACATAGCCAAGAGAATCCTAAGCAAAAAGAACAAAGCTGGAGGCATCACACTACCTGACTTTAAACTATATTACAAGGCTACAGTAATCAAAACAGCATGGTACTGGTACCAAAACAGAGATATAGACCAATGGAACAGAACAGAGGCCTTGGAAGTAATGCCACACATCTGCAACCACCTGATCTTTGACAAACCTGACAAAAATAAGCAATGGGGAAAGGACTCCCTGTTTAATAAATGGTGTCAGGAAAACTGGCTAGGCTAGCCATGTGCAGAAAGCTGAAACTGAACCCCTTCCTTATACCTTATACAAAAATTAACTCCTGATGGATTAAAGATTTAAACATAAGACCTAACACCATAAAAACCCTAGAAGAAAACCTAGGCAAAACCATTCAGGACACAGGCATAGGCAAGGACTTCATGACTGAAACACCAAAAGCAACAGCAACAAAAGCCAAAATAGACAAATGGGATCTAATTAAACTTAAGAGTTTCTGCACAGCAAAAGAAGCAATCATTAGAGTGAACCAGCAAACAACAGGATGGGAAAAAATTTTTTGCAAGCTATGCATATGACAAAGGGCTAATATCCAGAATCTACAAAGAACTAAAACAGATTTACAAGAAAAAAACAACTCCATCAAAAAGTGGGCAAAGGATATGAACAGGCACTTTTCAAAAGCAGACATTTATGCGGTCAACAAACATGAAAAAATGCTCATCATCACTGGTCATTAGAAAAATGCAAATCAAAACCACATTGAGATACCATCTCATGCCAGTTAGAATGGCAATCATTAAAAAATCAGGAGACAACAGATGCTGGAGAGGATGTGGAGAAATAGGAATGCTTTTACTGTTGGTGAGAGCATAAATTAGTGCAACCATTGTGAAAGACAGTGTGGTGATTCCTCAAGGACTTAGAAATAGAAATTCTATTTGACCCAGCAATCCCATTACTGGGTATATACCCAAAGGATTATAAATTGTTCTGTTATAAAGACACATGCACATGTATGTTAATTGCAGCACTGTTTACAATAGCAATGACTTAGAACCAACCCAAATGCCCATCAGGATAGACTGAATAAAGAAAATGTGGCACATATACACCATGGAATACTATGTAGCCATAAAAAAGGATGAGGGACATGAGCTCATCCTTTTTCATGGATGAATCTGGGAACCATCATTCTCAGCAAACTGACAAAAGAACAGAAAACCAAACACCTCATGTTCTCACTCATAAGTGGGTGTTGAACAATGAGAACACATGGACACCAGGAGGGGAACATCACACACTGGGGTCTATTGTGGGGTGGAGGGCTAGGGGAGGGATAGCTTGGTGGAGAGATAGGGGAGGGATAACATTAGGAGAAATACCTAATGTTGGTGGACACAGCAAACCAGCATGGCATGGTAAACCTATGTAACAATCCTGCAAGATCTGCACATGTACCTCAGAACTTAAAGTATATATAAAAAAACAAACAATGAGCATTCATTATGTCAGAGTTTCTGTGGCTCAGGAATCTGGGCAAGGCATAGCTAAGTACTTCTGTTTCAAGGTCTCTCATGAGGTTGCCCACCGGCTAAGTGCGGCTGTGGTCCCTTCTGAAGTGGGGGAGGCTGACTGGGGAGAGTCCTTTTCTTAGCTCGCTCATGTGGTTATTGGCAGGCCCCAGTCTTTAGCCACGTGGGCCTCCCCCCTGGCAACCTGCTTCCCTTGGGGTGAGTGATCCAAGAGTGAGCAAGAGAGTGAGAGAACACCCAAGTTGGAAGTCATCTTCTTTTTGTAACCCAATCTCTGAAGTGACAGCCCATTATTTCTATTGTACTCTACTGGCTAGAAGCAAGTGGGTCTGGTTCACTCTGGGCAGGTAGGGGAGTATACAAGGGTGTGAGTACCATGTGGGTGAGCATCACTGGGGCTATCTTCGGGGCTGCCTATTCCCAGTTTACAGATTAGAAAGCCAAAACTCATCACGGTGTAGTGACTTTGCCAGCATCATTCAGCTAATCAGGGATGCAGTACAGAACCCATCTTCTAATTTCTAGCCTACTCTTCTCATTATATTTCCATAGAGACCCTTTAAAGAACATGTTAGCACTACCATTTGCTTTTATTTTTTAAATGTTTATATTAACATCAAATTAATAATCTGGTATTTCATAATATTTCATATAAAATATGAAAATTAAAAAGACTCTCTCCTTTATTTAACAGAAGGAGAAATCAAGGGAGCTAGTACTTGTTGAGAACTTAGGGCGATATTTCCCCATTTTGCCTGGGTGTTACTTCTTTTGCAAATCACTTATAGGCAGGAGGGCTGCCCAGACAGCTGCATTTTTAAAGATGTTTCCAGGCTTGAGAGTCCTTGACCTTTTGTTTTAGGCATTGTGGTACATGCTTTACAAATGTTTTCATTCTGTCTGCACATTAATCCTCATTTCAAAGATTAGGAAACTGAGTTTGAGCATTTCTACAATGATCCGTGGTGGGACCAAATTTGAATCTAGCTATCTCTAGCATTATGGGCTGTATTATTTTTCCACTTTACCACGTTGCTTCTTCAAGGTATTCTTTAAGTTAAAATGCTTCTCCCCGCCACCCCTGGTACGGACTCTCTCTCTGTCGCCCAGGCTGGAGGGCGGTGGCGCGATATCCACTCACTGCAACCTTCGCCTCCTGGGTTCAAGCGATTCTCCTGACTCAGCCTCCTGAGTAGCTGGAATTACAGGTGCGTGCTACCTCGCCTGGCAAACTTTTGTATTTTTAGTAGAGACGAGGTTTCACCATGTTGCCCAGGCTGGTCTCAAACTGCTGACCTCAAGTGATCCACCCACCTCAGCCTCCCAAAGTGCTGGGATTACAGGCATGAACCACCGTGCTCGGCCCAGTGCTTTCAAATTAATTTAATTTGTGCCTGATATCTTTGTTCAGTATTCTCTATTCTAATTTTTGAAGAGGTAGTCAAATCTTCCATATAGGTGGCAGCACTGGCCGCATAGTTTTGTTGACCACCCTTCTTGGGTCAGTGCAGGTTTCTTTCTAGAGGCAGGGAGTAGGAAAGAGGTTATGGCTATATCACTTAGATTTGGAGAACAAGGAGGTGTAGAGGCAGTTCATAAACATCCCAAGGGAGCATTGGTAGTCAAGAAGTTTAATTTGGAAGGGGAGGGAAAATATTGGTTGAGAGTATTGGACAAGTGCATTTCTTACTGCCATGAGTAATCCATCATCCATCAGGGAGTACCATGAGAGAGGACAGGAAGGCTTTAGAAGCAAGAATCTTTTAATTGATTCCACAAAGAGGTGTTAGATTTTATTTAAAACTTATCTGTGTTAGTTGCAAAGAGTTACGACTTCTAAAAAAATTACAGCTTTATTTCAGATTCAAGGGGTACATGTACAGGTTTGTCACATGGGTACATGACATGATGCTGAGGTTGGGGTATGGATCCTGTCACCCAGGTGGTGAGTCCAGTACACAACAGGAAATTTTTCAGCTCACACCTCTTTCCCTTCCTCCCCACCCAGAATTATGTCTTTCTTCTACTTCATTCTTCTCACTTTTACCCCTACTACTAGTAGCTGGACTTCTGTTGGGAACGTTTGTAAAATTTGTTTAATATAAGAACATTTATATAATTTCTTAGGTATTTCTGTGCACATAAGTATATGGTGCTGGAGAAATAGGGCCATTGCTTGGCTTACTTGGTAGCTCAATGGCTTAATTCCCCAACTTTACAATATGAGCAATGAAAATTTCTATCCAAGAAAGTTTAAAATTATTACATGTCACAAACATTTTGGGTTGCTCACAGATTTTAAGATGCAAATATGAAATACATATAATACCTAAAGCCTACTCCCAGGCTACCAAAAGTAGCTCTTGATGTGAAAAATAATAGATGACGTGAATACAGCACAATGTTCACATTTGTCAAATCTAGTGATGAGAATAGTTGGTCATTAAACTATTCACTGTACTTTTCTATATATTTAAAGCTTTTTATCATAAAAAGTAAACTGGAAAGAAAGATAGAATATTGCTATCAAGACTCCAAATTTTAAGGAATACTGATTTCAACTTCTTGATTCAAAAGACTTGTTTTAATTCATATAATTTAAAAATCATTTAGTTCTGATGTTTTTTACATCCTAGTAATTTTTAAAAACTTTGTTCAATTACCCTAACCATGGATGTGCCTTATTATTGTTATTTTGTTGTCGTTGAGCTTTTTATATTCTCTTACGTAGGAAGGTTTCAAGCATTACCTTTAGAAATGACAGAAGTGCTAATAGTATCGAGTCATATAATTGCTTCCCACTCATACACCCACTATATCTGTACTTTCAAAAATTCCCTTTTTCCCCCTCATTTCTTTATTCTGGTTAAAAGTAACCAGCAATTGTTGTTTAGTTTATAACTGTCATTTGGGTAGGAAAAGTGCAGGGGATTTGTGCTTCCATTTCTGACTCTTAAGTTTATGTAAGTTTCATTTTTTTTTAAATCACCCTGGTATTGTGCTTTAGGCATAGCTTACTATTATATATAGATGGACAAGAAGAGTGCACTCAAGGAGCTACTATTATAAATAATGATGTTTAAAGTTCAGGTGAAGGACATTTTTCTGAAGGACCCATTTGATGCCATCCCTGAACCCTCTTTATTGGAGTTTAGTGGTCCTTTGTAGACATGACTTAGCAAGGGTGAAAGGGACTCCTTCTAGGCAGATTTTTATTAGGATATTTTTGATCTACAAATACCATATATAATATAAATTCTGACATACAACATTAGCTATAAAGTAATTATGTTAATTTCCATAAGCCACATAAAATTGATTTAATTATTGCATAGTTACACCGCACACCTAGGACATATCATACACTAATCAGTAGTTGTTTTTCTTGGCTGTATTTCTTATATCACCATTAAAAAGACGTTTTATATATTTTATCTTGTCCCATCAATTAAAAGGAAAGTTCCTTGAAGACAAGGATGCCATTGGCTTTATCTGTTCTTCCATAGTGATTTGCATTATGGTTACAAGCAGGGTCTCAGAATCTCCGCTACATAACTTATAGCTGTTGGGTCTTAGGCAAGGGACTTAACTTCTCTACCTCTCTGTTTTCTCATTGGCAAAATGGGAATAATGATAATGCTTTATTTTATAGATCCTGACATTTTTTCACATTTTAATGTCTCTGAACTAAGGACATACTTTAGTCAGTCAGGTTTAATGAATCATTGCGGATGTGACTTGATATTACCTTAAATTATTAGTTCTCTCCATGAGGGTGTTTTTGTTGGCTTGTTTGTTTGTTTTTGATTTTGGTATCATTCATGAATTCAGACTGCCGTTGAGTACCTGTGCATACATTCTCAAAGAAGTTTGGTTTTCTTCGTTCTCCTACTAGCATGTCAATTTTATTTCTCTCTTTTTCTCCAAGGTTGGTTTATTTCATGTTTACCTTAACAGGGAGGGCCCACTGGTGGTCTAGTAGTATGGAGGAGTTACATTCCTCACCTTGGATGTCTTTTTTCTTCCTCAATAGCACAGGAAACAACGGTGCAGTCTTACAATCAGTGATGTTTTATATCTGCTGTAATCAAACCTACCTTAAATGGTTGTTGTCAGCATATGTCAGGATAATATGCTAATGCGTTTAGCCTAAAGCCTAGAGTATAGTAGGCATTCAGTTTACGTTAGTGATTGTTTTATATCCTTGTTGTAATTGTTATGCTTTGCTCTACCTTGTCCTACTTGTTTTACTTGTTTGTGTTTATCTCTTCCGCTCTGCTGTGAGCTACTCCGGAATAGGTTTGGATTTCTCCCAATATCTTCAGAACCTACTGGCACTTAGTAGGATTGCTAAAAGGTGAACCGAATTCCATGAAAGAAAATGAATGCTAGTCTGATTTCTATTTTAGCTAGGCTTCTGACCATAAGTAAGTCAATTTACCCCTCAAGGTATCAGTTTCTTCATCTTTAAAAAAGAGCAGAATAAACTATTAACCTTAAAATTGCTCTCACCTCCAAAATTTAATTTTTAGATAAACTTTTAAGTTCAGATTTACAGAAAAGTTGCAATGATAGTGCAGAATTCTCCTCAACCAGTTTCTCCTGTTAACATCTTGTATTATCTTTGTTTGTCAAAACTAATGTCCTATTTTCTGTTCCAGGGTCTAGTCTAGAATACTGGATTTAGTAAAATTTGACTTTAAGATAAAAATGCTCTACTATTTTGTGTACATTTAGAGTTGTGAGTACTATAGACTATTGGTTATTAAACCTATAAGCATACGATGGAATTCACTTAATGTGTTTCAATGTTAGGTTTCCATGGCACATGGGATACAAAATTTGATTAACGCCATCAGAATGATTCACGGTGTGTCAAAGTATTATAATACCTCAGAGAGAATGACCTCATTGTTTATTAAGGTAAGTTTCTATGGGAGGAAATTACATGTCATCCTGTGAAAAAGTTAAGACTTTCCTTCTGAGCTCTAGGAAGGGAATTGGGAAGCCTGAGTGCCTCTTAGAGTTTTAATACTTCTAGTGGGCAAGAAGAGAAAGGTGTTGATTGGACTCAGTAGTACTTAATTGAAGGGAGTGACTGGTACTTTTCTATTTATCATATGTAAGGCCCAATACTTAAAGAAAATGTGCCTGATGGTTTTCTAATTTATTCATTTCAAATAGTTTGATTCCCAAGAGATAGGAGTGTGTCTACTATTAACAGTGCTTCTTTAGCTATTCCCATCAGCACTACAGTTGGTGTAAACTCTTCCTGTGTAGCACCACATGGCTAATTATTTAAAATAATTTGAAGATATACTCAAGCCACACATGAGGCCAGGCATGGTGGCTCAGGCTGTAATCCCAGCGCTTTGGGAGGCCGAGGTGGGAGAATTGCTGGAGCTCATGAGTTTGAGACCAGCCTGGGCAACATAGTGAGACCCTGACTCTACAAAAAATTTTTTAAATGTTAGCTGGGCGTGGTGGTATATGCCTGTAGTCCCAGCTATTCCAGAGTCTGAGGCAGGAGGATCCCTTGAGCCTGGGAGTTCAAGAATTTGGTGAGCTGTGATCATACCATGGCATTTCAGTCTGGTAAGAGAGTAAGACCCTGTCTAAACACACACAAACACACACACACACACACACAACACCCACATGAACAGAATTTATTTGTAAATTATTCAAGCATAACTAAATATCTAAAGTCACAGTCACGTTTTAACTTTTTAAATAAAGCAAAGTATAGGTTTGATCACTGTGTCCTAAATAAGACAAGACTCTCAGAATCCTTCCTCTTTACCTGACTCTCTCATTCTTGCCATATATGTCCCATACAGCTAGTGCTCGACTTACAACCACCATTGGTTCCGACAGACCGGTTGTAACATGATTTGGTCGTAAGTTGAGTAGGCTATATGCACGCGGAGATAGTGGTGCTGCTGGAAGCTGATCCGCACTGTTGTACGCCCAGCTGGGCAACGTTTGCGCTGCCAGACGCAGAGCAGTCTTGGCTAGCGATTATGGTCGTAAAGTCGAATGGTCGTAAGTTGCATAGGTCGTAAGTCGATCAATACCTGTATTGAGATCAGTTTTAGTTCTGATGAAGATTCTTTGCTTGGCTTCTGAATCTTCTGGGAGGCCCATCTGTTCACTTTCTAGTAAAATCTAGTTTGAGCAAAGAACCCTGCTAAGCCAGTTAAGCAAGAACCCCCCATTCTTGATGACTCTAGATATCTGATCAGGTTTTCAACCCCGTCAATCCCCCAGGTGTTGTCTGATCACTTTGGCCTATCTTCAGCAAGAATCCTGTAGGTCACTTTAGCCAAAACCCTCCTTACCTCCGATGTTTCCTCTTAATAATTTTCCACCCGCTAATCCCCGTCCTGCCCCTTGGCTATACATCCCTACTTGCCCATGCTGTGTTCACAGTTGAGCCCCATCTCTCTTTGCTGCTGCAAGATCCCATTGCAGTGGTGCCTACACCTATCACAATGGTCCTGAATAAAGTCCCTTGCTGTGCAAGTATCGCTGAATAATTTTTTCTTTAACGGTTCCACATTATTGTTAACATTGTTTTCAACATTGTGAATGAACAAGTATTCAGACTAAAATCCAAATATTGCTAGTTAATTTATCACCACTGTTTTGTAATTCCCACATCTTTCTCTTTCTTAGATTCATTATTTCTTTTGGCAAAAAAAATTCTTTCAGGGAGGGTTTCGGGCTGGTGAACTTCCTGAATTTCTACATGTCTGAAAATCATTTTCATTTTGCCTGATCACTCAAATGCTACTGTGAGTTGGATTTTAAATTCAACATCATTTTTCCTGGGATGTTGAAGATATTGCTCAATCATTGTCTAGTATACAATATTGTTGATGAGAAGCTTGGTGCTAATCTGATTCTTGTTTCCTTTGTAGGTAACTGGTTTTATTCTCCTAGGAAGTTTTTCGGATTTTTTTTTTATCTTTGAATTTCTAAAATCTCAACCTTTTTTTTTTTTTTTAAACATTTATCTTGTTCTACACTTGCTTAGTTGTCCCAATCCAAAGAATTTCCTTTCTCTTTATTCGTGGGAAACATTCCTCTTTTGCCTTGGATTATTCTTAGCTCACTGATATGGTTTGGGTATTTGTCCCCTTCCAAATCTCATGTTGAAATGTGATACTCAGCGTTGGAGTTGGGGGCTGGCAGGAAGTGTCTGGGTCATGGGGGTGGATCCCTCATGAATGGTTTGGTGCCCTCCTTGTGGTAATGAGTTCATGTGACAGCTGATTGTTTAAAAGATCCTGGCATCTCTCTTTTGCTTGCTTTCATAGGAGTTCCCACTTTGCCTTCAACCATGACTGTAAGCTTTCTGGGGCTGGCATCAGAAGTAGATGCCGGTTCTAGGCTTCGTGTACAGCCTACAGAGCTGTGAGCCAAATAAGCCTCTTTTCTTTATAAATTACCCATTCTCAGGTATTCCTTGATAGCAATGTAAATGGACTAACTCACCTACCCATTCAATTTATTCTCTTCCCTTGAATCTAACTTCCATTTCTTTTAATTGTTTTCTTCCATCTTTGCCCTCTTCTGGCTCATTCATTTGCTCTTCATTTTTGTACCAGTTGATGGTCAGTTCATCAAAAGAATTTCTTTTAAAATTTTGACATTGAAAATTCCAATTTCCAAGTTCTCTAGTTATTTTTAAATTTTATTTTTATTATTTTTTATTTTTAAAGATAGAGTCTCATTCTCTTTCCCAGGCTGGCCTTGAACTCCTGGGCTCAAGTGATCCTCCCACCTTGACCTTCCAAAGTGCTGGGATTACAGGCATGAGCCACTGCACTTGGCCCATAAGTTTATTCTTTATCATATTTTTATGCTTGTGATTTGAAATTTTTACATAAATGTTATTTCTTTTTTTACATATAATTATTTTGTACCTATATTTATTTTAGGTAACTAATCAGATGGTGACAGCATGTAAAGCATATATTACCGATGGAGGATTAAATCATGTATGGGATCAGGAAACACCAGTTGTGCTAAAGAAAATTCAGGTTTGTAGAAGTACCTTTATTCTCATAAACTAAATCTTTTCCCATCCTGCCCAATTTTACTTTGTTTATTCACAAAATACGTTAACTGAAAAACTTCCTACTGAGTAGTGTTGAGAATAGAAAAAGAATGCAATTCTTATTATCTATTTCTCTTTATATTTAGTGCTTCTTTTAGGGTATAATTTAATTCTGATGAAGATTCTACATGGCTGCCTGTGTTAGATTCCTGTATGCCATTTCATATGCTCCGGCCCTTACATCTCATTCCAGCCCCTGTTATAATTAAATTTTGTTTTGCCTTTTTCTGCCTTGGTTAGGCTTACCATGTATCCTTAAATAGACACGGTGGTAGTTGGCATCCTAATTTTGATCCTGGTTTAGAAGACGATGTTTCTAACATTTCCCTCATTTAGTTGGATGCTTTTGTAAGTTTTAAATATATCTTTGATCAGATTAGTTTAGTACCAACAGATATTTTTTTAAGTTATGAATGGGCTTTGAAAAATTTTCTTCTGCACATATTTATTGAGATGCTTATAGAATTTTGCTCCTCAGTCTGTTAATGTGATAGATGACATTTTTAGACTTTCTAAAAGTGTCTTAACATTTCTGGGATAAATTCAACTTGGTCATGGTGTAATTATCTTTTTTAAAACCCTCAAGTTCAGTTTGCTACAATTTTGTTTAGGATTTAGGAAGCTGTATTGGTAGGGAGAGAGCATGTAATTTTTGTTACTCATACTGACCTTGTCTGTGTTTATGGCATCAATGTCTCAGAATGAATGGAGGGTAGGGGGAAGTATTCCTCCGTTTTCTATTTTGTGAAAAAGTCTGTATAAAATTAAAGTGGCCTGTTTTTTGAAAGTTTGAAAGAAATGGCCACAGCAGGAAGGCTCCATCTGGAAGTCGTTATTGGTCATCCCTGTGTGCAGGCTCCTTGGTCTTCATAGAGCCAAGGTATGTGGCTTGAACTGGGAGGCCACATTTGAAAATTGCCCCAGTGCTCTCTATCCAGGGTGGAAACCACTATTCCTGCAGGCTTGGCGCTGACCGCTATCCTGGACAGGGCACTGTTATCACCCTTGCTCTGACCTCTGAACTGGAGGATAAGCAGAGGAAGAATTGCAGTTAGTGTTTCTCATGCTGAAAACAGTTGATCCCAAGGACTGGAAGAACCAGGATCATTATGCAGTTCTTGGACTTAGCCATGTAAGATACAAAGCTACACAGAGACAGATTGAAGCAGTTCATAAAGCAGTGGCTTTAAAACATCAGGGAAAGCAGCCAGTGAACCAATATAAGCAAGGGATAACAATTAACTTCACTTGCATCACGAAAATTACAAAATGTATGACCCAGTGAAAAGGGGAGCATTTAACTGTGTAGATCATACATTTAATTTGGTAACTCAGTTCCTTCGAAAAGTGAAGCAAGGGATAATTTCTTTGAAGTGTTTTTCCCACTATTCAAAAATAATTACAGATGGTCCAAAAAAAAAAGTTTCTAAACCTGGTGATATGAATTTATCATTTTCTTCCTTCTGGTATAATTTTTATGCTTGGACAGTTTTTTAAATTTAAATATGGAAGAAAAACAGAATATTATGACAAGAGAGAGATTGGAAAGGAGAACAGAGCAACAAGAGCACAAAGAAAGAAAGAAGAAATGAATTGAAAAGAACATTAGTGATAAATAATGCACATAGCCGTGATACAAGGATAAAAAATTCAAAGAAGAAAAAGCCAAGGCCAGGTGCATGCCTGTGATTCCGGCATTTTGGGAGGCTAAGGCGAGTGGATCGCTTGAGCCCAGGAGTTTGAGACCAGCATGGGCAACATGATGAAACCCTGTCTCTACAAAAAATTAGCCAGGTGTGTTGGTGTGCACCTATAGTCCCAGCGACTTGGGAGGCTGAGGTTGCAGTGAGGTGAGCCGTGATCACGCCACTGCACTCCAGCTTGGGTGACAGAGCAAGACTCTGTCTCAACATAAAAAAAAAAAGAGAAAGTCAAGAAAGGAGCAAGATGGAAGAAGCAAGAGGCTAAAGAAAAACAAAGACAAGCTGAATTAGAAGCTGCCTGAATAGCTAAGGAGAAAGAAGAGGAAGTTGAATAACAAACATTTCTGGCAAAGAAGGGAAAAAGATATCCAGAAAAGAGTCATTAAAAGGGGAAGACAAACCTTCAAAATTCAAGGAAGACCTGAAATCACTTTTTCTGACACTAAGTGGAGCAGCTTAAAAAGGTGGAAGAAGTGGAAAAACTTTGTGATAGGTTTGAACTAGTAAGTTTACAGCACTTGGGTGAAATACCTCATCTATAAAACTCTAGGAATGGTTGCTCTGGTAAAAAGCGAAGAAATAAATGAGCCAATCAGAACAGAGAAAGACGAAGAAGTGGGAGAGGCTTGTGTGTAACAAGCATCTAAGAATGCAGAGGAATCAACTGTCAAAGGTGGAAATGGCAGTAAAAATTAGTCAGAAGAGGATTGGTTTTCAGTTACTAATTAAAACCATAAGCCCCTTTCCTGCTTGAACAAATTCAATATGGGAAATTATTACCAATTATATGGGCGTACATTCTTTTTTTGGAGTCAAGAGAACTTACTGGCAAAGAAAATTGAGCCTCCAAAAACTTGACCCTCATAAAAAAAGAATGACAAAAAGATTGTGGATAATTTTTAAAAGAACATGGAATAGTCCCTCAAGTACATGAAGTAGGTCTCCTTCAAATGCACCTGAAACATGAGGAAAAATAGAGGGAGCAGTGGTTGGCAGGACAAAAGAGGACCTCAAAAATGATACAAGGAAGTTGTTGAGATGGTAAAGGCAATGAAATGCCCAGGAATAACTGCTGAATGCAAATGGAGCTGAGAAATGACTTACTGACCGTCTTTGTCACGTGTGAACTTAAAAAATAAAACTGACAATTGGAGATGCTGGAATGCCTCCTGGACATACAAGAAAACATTGTATGTTTTCTTTTGAGAAATGTCTTTTCAGTTCCTTTACCCATGTAAAAATAATTTTTTTGGAGATGGAAGTCTGGCTCTGTTGTCTAGGCTGGAGTGCAGGGGTGCAATCTTGGCTCACTGCAAACTCCACCTCTCAGGTTCAAGCCTCCTGAGTAGCTGGGATTACAGACGTCTGCCATCACACTCAGCTAATTTTTGTATTTTTAGTAGAAACAGTGTTTCACCATATTGGCCGGGCTGGTCTTGAACTCCTGACCTCAAGAGATCCTCTCACCTCGGCCTCCCAAAGTTCTGGTATTACAGGCGTGAGCCACTGTGCTCGGCCTCACTTGCCTATTTTAAAATCAGGTTATTTATTTTCTTCCTATTGAGTTGTTTGAGTTCCTTACATATTTTGAGAATAAAACTCTTACTGGATATATGGTTTGCAAATACTGTCTTCCAATATACAATCTCATTTGTTATTTTTGCTTTTGTTGCCTGTACTTTTGGGGTTACATTCACAAAAATTATTGCCAAGTAGCTTTTCCCTGACATTTTCTTCTAGTAATTTTACAGTTTCAGGTCTTATCTTTACATCTTTAATCCACTTTAAGTTGACTTTTGCATGTCATGTGAAATGAGGGTCCAATTTTATTATTTTGCATGTGGATATCCGGTTTTCCCAAGACCGTTATTGAAGAGACTCCCCTTTCCTCATTGTGTGTTCTTGGTACTTTTGTCAAAGACAAATTGACCATAATGCATGGATTTATTTCTGGGTTCTCTATTCTGTTTCATTGGTCTATGTATCTGTTTTTAATGTCAGTACTGTACTGTTTTGATTACTACAGTATAAAATCAAGCAGTGTGATGCCTCTAGCTTTGCAAATTTAAAACCACTGAAGTTCAGCTCACACCTGTTAGAATGCCTACTACAAAAAAAAAGACAAATGATAACAAGTGTTGGTAGTCAGGATGTGCATGCTGTTGGTGGGAATGTAAATTACTGTAGCCATTATAAAACACGGTATAGAGGCTCCCCCCAAAATTAAAAATAGAACTACCATATGATCCAGCAATCTCATTTCTGGGTAAATATTTAAAGAAAATGATATAACTATCTCAAAGAGATACCTACATTCTCACATTCATTGCAGCATTATTCACAATAGCCAGGATATGGAAGCAAACTAAGTGCCTGTTGACACATGAATGGATAAAGAAAATGTGGTATACAGGGTATGTATGTGTATATGTATGTGTTTGTATGTGTGTGTATGGATACATATATAATGGAATATTAATCAGTCTTTACAAAGAAGGAAATATTGTCATTTTTGACAACGTGGCTGTCCTTTATTTCATTATGCTAAGTGAAATAAGCCAGAAACAGAAAGCCAAATACTGCATTTTAAAACTTACATGTGGAATCTAAAAAAGTCAAATTCTTAGAAGCAGAGAGTAGAATGGTGGTTACCAGGGCTGGGGAGGGATGGCACAATGATGAGATGTTGGTGAAAGAGTACAAATTTTCAGTTAGGCAGGATAAATAAATTCTGGAGATCTAGTGTACTGTATGGTAACTATAATTCACAGCACTGTTTTGTTTTTGTTTTTTGAGACAAGGTCTGCCTCTATTTCCCAGGCTGGAGTGCAGTGATGCCATCTCAGCTCAATGCAACCTCCACCTCCTGGGCTCAAGCCATCCTCCCACCTCCGCCTCCCTAGTAGCTGAGACTACAGGCATGCACCATGTATTGTATACTTGACATTTGCTAAGACAGTAGATCTTAAGTGTTCTCACACCCTCCACCCCACAAAGTAACTATGTGAGCTGAGGATATGCTAGTTAGCTTGATTTTGGTAAATATTTCACAATGTATACATCTTTCAAAACATCATGTTGTGTACCTTAAATATATGCAAATTTTTGTCAATTATGCCTCAATAAAGCTGGAAAAAAATAAATGAAATACTGAACAAAAAGCAAGTCTGATAGAACTCATCTGTTATTCATGTAGAGTTGATGTATTCTTTGTGAGAAGATTTTTAATTTCTTGCTTCTCTTTTTTTATAATTAAACATTTTTAATTATGATAAAAATAGCATAAAATTTACCATTTAAACCATACAGTTCAGTAGCATTAAATACATTCACATTGTTTTGCAGCCATCACTGCTGTCCATTTCAGAACTTTTTCATCATTCTAAACTGAAACTCTGTAGCCATTAAATAATTTCCTAAACTCAGGCTGGGCGAGATGGCTCATACCTGTAATTCCAACACTTTGGAAGGCTGAGGTGGGCAGGATCACCTGAGGTTAGGAGTTCGAGACCAGCCTGGGCCACATGGTGAAATCCTGTCTTTACTAAAAATACAAATATTAGCTGGGTGTGGTGGCGGGTGCCTATAGTCCCAGCTACTCAGGAGGCTGAGGCAGGAGAATCGCTTGAATCTGGGAGGCAGAGGTTGCAGGGAGCCGAGATTACATCATTGCACTCCAGCCTGGGCGACAAAGAGCAAAACTCTGTCTCAAAAAAAAAAAAAAAATTCCTCAAACTCTCTGCCCCAGCCCCTAGTGACTTGTATTGATTGTCTTTATGAATTTGCCTAAGTACCTCATATAAGTGGAATTAAACAATATTTGTTCTTTTTTGTCTGGTTTATTTCACTTAGCATAATATTTTCATCTATGTTGTAGCATGTATCAGAATTTCATTCCATTTCGTGGCTGAGTAATATTCCATTGTTTGCATAGCCCATATATTTTTATCCATTCCTCTGCTGATGCACATTTGGTTTGTTACTACCTTTTGGCTATTGTGAATAATGTGGCTATGAACACTGGTGGGTAAATATCTGTTTGAGTCCCTGCTTTCAATTCTGCTGGGTGTATACCTAGAAGGGAAATTTTTGGGTCGTATGGTAATTCTATGTTTAACTTTTTGAGTTCCTGCCAAACAGTTTACCACAGTGGCTGTACCATTTTACATTTCTTTGTTTCCTTGCCAACACTTTTTATTTTCTATCATTTTGACAAAAGCCATCCTAATGTGTATGGAGTGAAGTGATGTCTCCTTGTTGTTTTAATTTTCATTTCTCTAGTGGCTAGGGATGGCTGAGCATCATTTCATATACTTATTGGCCCTTTGTATATCTCTGGAGAAATATTTACTCAGGTCCTTTATCCATTTTGAATTTTTTTTTTTGTTATTAAGTTGTAGGATTTCTTTATATATTCTGGATATTAATTCATTACCATATATATGCTTTGCATATATACTCCTGTTTATTTATTTTGCTTGTTTGTTTTGAGACCAAGTCTCACTCTGTCACCCAGGCTCTAGTGCAGTAGCATGATCAAGCTCACTGCATGCTTGACGTCCTGGGGTCAAGAGATCCTCCACCTCTGCCTCCTAAGTAGCTAGGACCACAGGTGCATGCCACCACACCCAAGTAATTTTTGCATTTTTGTAGAGACAAGGTTTTGCTGTGCTGCTCAGGTGGTTCCAAACTTCTGAGCTTAAGCAATCATCCTGCCTTGACCTCCCAAAGTGTTGGGATTACAGTCATAAGCCATCACACCTAGCCTGTTTATTTAAAAAAACTATTTGACTATATTTTCTTTTTCTTTGAGTCAGTTTTTTTAAGTTGATATTCTTGGGGAATTTCCCCAATTTTTCTAAAATTTGTAATTTATTGACTAAATATTCATAATATTCTCTTACTAACCTTTGTCTTACTCTATAACATGTCCCCTTATTTATGAATATTATTTATCTTCTTTCTGTTTTCCTAATCATTCTTGCTCCCCTCATTCCCAGAGTCAAAACAACTTGTTTTGAATGAGTCTCTTATGTCTGTTGTTTTTATTATTAATTGCAGGATTCCATGTTTTCCTCTATAGTTTCTCTTGTTATTTTTGGAAATAGGAGTCAGAAATTACCCCAGATTTGCCAATTGTCAGGAACCATCACTGTTTACATAGAATTTAGCAATGTAGTCTCATTATTCTTTTAAGATCCTCAAGATTACTAGCCATTTACTGACTGAATTAGAAATGGGAGCTTGGTTTTCTGAATTCTAGTTCAATGTTTTTATTACATCTGAAATGTTTTCAGAAAACGTTCAGTGTGTACTTTCTAGGAATAGTTTTTGGATGAGTTGGAGGAAACAATGAGAATTGTTATTCAGAATCTTATCTGAGAACAACTGTTATTCAGAGCCAACTCATTTTTGTTGAATGAGTGAAAAATAATCAGGGCCCACAAAGAGAGCAATTATAATTGTTTTGTAGAGGAGGGAATGAGACCGGTTATTCTCAAATCTGAATATTTATAGGAATTACTATAGGAGAAAAAACATAGATTTCTGGGTCCCACTTGCAGAAATTCTGATTTAGTGGCTACGGTGGGCAGAATAATGGTCCCCAAAGATGTCTGTGTGCTTATCCTTAGAACCTATCCATAGGTTACATATGGCAAGGGGTAATTAAGGTTGCAGATGGAATGAAAGTGCTGATCAGCTGATATGGGAATTACCCAAGTGAGCCCAATGTTTAAGTCTCCTTATATGGGCAAGAGAGAGGCAGAAGAGTCAGAACCATTTGACTGGCTATTGATTGATGGTTTCAAAAAAGTTTAACATTAAAAAAAAGATTTGGTGTTTAGGAAATGTTAGCTTGACATGATAGTTAATTCCTACTGTGCCCAGTAACTATATTCTCTTTTTAAATTCTATTACATTCATAAACCAGACCAGTATAGTACATCTGTAGTCAAATATTTGGATTTCAGCAATGTACTCATCAAAGAATTCAGGATCTTCTTTGGGCAAAATGATTGTCAGATGATAGCTCTGTATGACAGAAACTTCATATTCTATATACCTGTGCATAAAGAATGCTGATTCAAAGATGGATGCAAACCGAACAGAGGTGTCTTGATAGATTATTTCTGGACCTCTTGGGAGTTCTAATTAGTCATGAAAATGTAAAAACAAATAGTAGGCCAAGCGTGGTGGCTCACGCCTGTAATCCCAGCACTTTGGGAGGCTGAGGCGGGCAGATCACAAGGTCAGGAGATCAAGCCCATACTGCCCAACATGGTGAAATTCCTTCTCTACTAAAAATACAGAAAATTAGATGGGCGTGGCGGCGTACGTCTGTAGTCCCAGCTACTGGGGAGGCTGAGGAAGGAGAATCGCTTGAACACGGGAGGCGGAGGTTGCAATGAGCTGAGATCATGCTACTGCACTCCAGCCTGGGTGACAGACCGAGACTCCATCTCAAAAAAAACAAAGCAAAACAAAACAAAATAAAACAAAACAGTATATGGTATGCTTTGATGTAGGATAAGATTTAAAGGAAAACAGAGAGGATGAAGAAAAGTGAGGTTAAAATGAGGATGAAAATACGTTATAAATTTAAAAAAACTGTACAGATTTTCACAGTTTGATCAGTTCTGTGTAATGGTAGAGTTTTTGAATTTTCAGTTCCTGAACAAATGTCTCACCTTTTTGTCCCTGCTTCTTTTACTTTTCTCGTAGGACTGCATTTTTCTGTTTAAGGAATATCAGACATCTTTTCACAAAACAAGGAGACAGATTTTAGACTCCTCAGGGGAAAAATCTTTTGAAGTTTCAGAAATGTATATATTTGGAAAATTTGAAGCTTTTTGTAAAAGACTGGAGAAGGTAAGCATTATGCAATCATAGTACCCTACTCCACACCACACCTTTTCGGTGTTTTTGTACTTTATATAGTACCACTGAGAATTATCGTTCCTGATCTCTTGCGTCACTATTGTTATGAGTCATCTGATATTACTCACAGATCACTGCATTTTATTATAACTAATTTTTTACATTCCTGGTTACTGCCTTCTGCCAATAACACAAAAGGTATGGCCAACTTTCACGTCTCTCAAGACCTCAATTTACCTCTACCTATGGAACTTGAACTTAAAAGGCTCTGCTCTTAACCATTATATTAGGCTGAGAAAAAGTATGAGATGAAATACCTGCAATGCCTGGTGGAACTCAGTAGTTGTAGAATATCTGGATGTATAAGCACATCCTCTTTCTGAGCCAGTGTATGTGGTGTATATATAAATATTGTGTGGGTGATAGCTTTGTTGGACAGACGTGGGTTTGATTCCTTTATTAGGACTGGTTGGGAAGGAGTGATTTTTTTTTGGGGAGATAGGCCCAGCCCATACCGGAGACTTCTTGGAGTCATCCTTTGACAAGTCTATAAAGATATCATCTAGGTATTCCTCCCCCAACTTCGTCAGTTCCTTGGATCCTGCTAGTATTTAGAATCTTGTTCATCATTTGTTGAAAAGTAGTGCAGGGCATTACATAGGTTGAAGAGCATTTCCTAGACATGTTTGGAAGCCTATTTTTATTAGTAACTTTCTGGTCCAGCCAGGACAGGAAAGTATGGGTAATGAAGAGAACCAAGTTTCTGACTGGAGTTCTTCATACATACTTCTTTGATGCTGTTTTTTTTTTTTTATTTGTTTCTTTAACAGCTTTACTGAGACATAATCCACATACTATACTATTTACCCACTTAAAGTGTACAAGTCAGTATTTTCTAGTATATTCACAGGGCTGTGCAATCCCTACCACAATCTAATTTTAGAACATTTTCATTCCCACTAAAAGAAACCCTACGCCCATTAGCAGTCATACCCCATTCTCTCCTCTCCCCAGTTTTAAGCAACCACTGATCTACTTTATGTCTCTATAGATGTGCTTATTCTGGACACTTTATATAAACGGAATCATACAATATGTGGTCTTTTGTGGCTACTTTCACTTAGCATAATGTTTTCAAAGCTCATCTATGTTATACCATTTTTCAGAACTTCATTCCATTCATCATTGGATAATATTCCATTGCATGGATACTATCACAGTTTATTTTTCTACTCATCAGTTGATGGACATTAGGATTGTTTCCTCTTTTTGGATATTATGAATAATGTTGCAATGAATGTTTGTGTACAAGAGTTTGTGTGGGCATATGTTGTCATTTCTCTTGGGTATATATGCAGCAGAATTGCTGGGTCATATGGCAACTCCATGTTTAACTTTTTGATGATAACCCTATTTATCAGAGTAGCTACATCATTTTACATTCTAATCAGCAAAATATGAGGTTTATGATTTCTTCACATACTTGCCAACACTTGTTATTACCTGTTGTTTTGAATTTAGCCATACTACTGGGTGTGAAGTGGTATCTCGTTAAGGTTTTGATTTGCATTTCCCTGATGGCTAATGATGTGGAGCATCTTTTCATGTGCTATTGCCCATTTGTATATCTTCTTTGAAAAAACATCTATTCAAATTCTTTGTATATATTTAACTGAGTTATTTGTCTTTTTGTTGTTGAGTTGTAGGAGTTCTTTATATATTCTGGGTATAACTTCCTTATTAGATATATGATTTACAAGTATTTTCTCTTATTTTTGGGTTATCTTTTCACTTTCTTGATGGTGTCCTTTGAAGTACAATGGTTTTAAATTTTAATGAAGTTCAATTTATCACATTTTTATTTTGTTTTCCTGTGTTTCTGATGTCATATCTAAAAAATTATTGTATGGGGCTGTTTTACGAGCAATAGATTTTTTTTTAACATTTTATTTTTATTTTTTAAATTAAAAAAATTGAGATGAGGTCTTGTTGTATTACTCAGGCTGGTGTTTAGTGGCATGATCATAGCTCACTGTAGCCGTGAACTCCTCAGCCCCCTGAGTAACTGGGACTACAGGCATGTACCACCAGGCCTGGCTAATTAAACTTTTTTTTTTTTTTTCTGAAAGAGATGGGGTCTTGCTATGTTGATGAGCTGGTCTTGAACTCCTGGCCTCAAGCAATCCTCCTGCTTTGACTTCCCAAAGTGCTGGAATTACAGGCATGAGTCACTGTGCTCAGCCAATAGGGATTTTTTTTGGGGGGTCAAATGTTTAATTAGAAGGCTATTAGCACAAGTCAAATTAATAAATAGGCCACATTGGTCAGGACAAAGATGCTTAATGTTCTGACTCCACTAGAGCATAGATCTGGAGGTGGGTCTCAGTTACCCTTATTTTCTAGGAGCCAGAACCCTTGCCAACTTGGGTGCCATTTTGAAATTGGTAGTTTCAGGACTAAACTTTAGTGGTTACCTTGTTAGTGGTAAAGATCTTTGGGGGTGAGTCTAATGCTGAGTAGAACGGTCATCCATCTGTGAAATAGCAGCCCAGGAATTTCTCTGACCCTAGAGGAAGTGGACTGTAGTGACCAGCTGCATTAGCTGCACCCACTCTGGTCTCTGGAGAAGCCCTGCCTTTGGTTTGAAGAATACAATTTAAGCCACAAATATTTGGCAACCAGAGCTAAGATAGCACCCCCTAGAGGCCTTACCTGAAACGCAGCCTGATTACTAGGTTATCTCAAGTCTTCCGTACTAAGAACCCCTTGATCTACTGGCATCTATTTCATTGGATAATTGGTGCGTATTGGTGTCCAGGCTCTCAAAGGTGGGGCTGTCAAACTTAACACTGAAGTATGTCCAGGATTTTACATAATCCACAAGAGGTGGCTACTGAGCTGCCTATTTGGGCTTCCTCTGATGAATGGGGTACAGAAGGGGCCACTGTTTGACTACCCTTGTGAACTCTTACATAGATGAAGAGGAGAGCCAGAAGGGTGCACTACGTCACAGCTTATTATGGAAAGCTGAGATTCAAAGTCGGCATGACCAAGTGACAAAGTCAAAGGGCAGACAAGGCTGAGGCTGGGGTTGGAGAGCTAAGATTTCAGAGTTAGACAGACATGTTGGGGTCCTTTGAGGAGTAAGTGAAGAAGGTTCTAGTGTGCCAGTGTTAGGATGCCTGAAACACACCTTTTTATAGTAGGTAGAGACTTGATGGTGCATTGAGTCCTAAAGAGCCAGAATTAAATGTGTGCAATACTCTTTGCTTCTTCCTCTTCCTGCCATGTAAATTTTGGTGAATACTGGTGTTTCCAAGAGCCCTACCTTCAGTTTTGTTTTCTTCTCATTCTGAACATTTGTGGAGAGAAGAGAAAAGGTGGAGAGCTGTTATTGCTGGGGGAGATTTGAGGATCTGGAGCAAATAGATGCGGTAGGTTCTTCACTTATGGTGACGCTGAGATGAGGGATCACAGCAAGTCAAGAACTGGAAAGCGTACAAGGTTAGTGAGCCGGAGGAGAGACTATAAATTGGTGGTAAACTGAGGGATTGAAAATTGATAGAGATATTGAAAGATCCAGGGCCAGCGAACTAGCAGGAGCATGGTCTTGGTGGATTCCCACAACTGGCTTTATGTTGCTCTATGTGTTATGGGGGTAGAGGATACACTGGCTAAGTTTGAAGGGCAAGCATGAGACTGACCACCATGTCTGCCTCAGATGACCCCTCATCCAACCCATCAACAAAATAGAGGACGTGCTAGTGACAGGAATTTTGTCCTAGTCTCTGGCTGTTGGAGCCAGGTGGTAGAGTAGTGAGTTAAGGGGTAAAGGAAACAGTCGTAGCAGGTTAGAACCACAGAGCAAGCCAACAGTAGTTTGCTTTTGCTTTTAAAAGTAGGTGAGTGGAGCATATGTGTTAGGAGGAGACCCAGATCGTTCCTGTGTTTATATAGAGCGTGAGCAGCATGCTGTAAATCCCAGGGGCCCATATTTCCTTTAGGTTTAGAGAGGCTTCTAGGATGATAATAGTTTTTGGAAGTATATGGAAATAGTGGAGTAAGAGCAACAGTTGCTTTCAAAATAGTTCTTCTGGGTTGCCATACACAGGGATCGATGGGAATTCTGCTGGCTGTGTAGGTGGATCTGTAGTGTCATCTTCACGACGGTGTGTGTGGTATTTGGAAGATTCTCTGAAAACATGTTTGTTCCCTTTCTGGCCACTGGACAAAGGGGTCAGCACTGTAGAGCCCTGAGTATTGTTCTCTGGAGCAGAAGTGAAAATGGGGACTCACTGATGAAGATTAAGGAAGGAGTAGCCTGTGGACAGGAGTTTTTTATTTGTTTGTTTTGGTGAAGTAAGTGGTAGGTTGCTGAAATAAAGTCCATTGTGAGGGTTTCCCAGGTCTCTCTAGGGGTCAGGAATAATTGCTGCCATTATTCAGGCTTCTTGGTCTAGGCTTTTACCTGAACACAGGTGTCAAAGAGGGAACACAAATGGATATATGCTAATGTTAGTATCAGAACTATAGTGAGGGCCAAAAAGAATGGTAGAGCTGTTGAGTCCAGTAATCCAGTGAAATGATTTTCAGAAAATCCTCAAGAGACCACAGGATGAAGCTATTTCATCAAGTTCCCTACTACCCTTGAAAGACAAGGTGATTAAACTGAAAAAGGTGATGAACTTCCTCTGGATATGATAGAACTTAGTCTAAGAGTAATAATGATGGGTGACAGAGATTTGTTTTCTGTTTTATCTCCTCTGTTTGGTTTTAGCTAGATTATTCTAGGTCCTGTTTAATGGTTTGTGTTTTAAATCAATGATTCATTAAGAACTTATTTCTTAGGAAGAAGTAAGTAGGAAGTTTCCTACTGTTTCACTTAAAAAGACAAAATAACTTTTCTCTTTTTAAGATTACAGAAATGATAACTGTTGTGCAAACATATTCATCCTTGAGTAATTCTACCATAGAAGGAATAGATATTATGGCAATAAAATTCCGAAATATATACCAAGGGGTTAAGAAAAAGCAATATGACATTCTGGATCCAAGAAGGACAGAATTTGACACAGATTTCTTAGATTTCATGACAAAAATCAATGGTTTAGAGGTAAGTAATTATACCTGCTTTTACTTAGTAAAACTGAAAAGTAGTCAGTAGTAAATATTCACATATAGTGTTTCTATATTTACTATTTAAGTGCCTCTTTCACATTGATCAAACATATTTGCAATGTGAGTAACTTTTAAACTACTCCACTAAAGGTTTTTTTTTTTTTTTT